ATCCAGATTGCTCAACTGGTCTTTAACCCATTCCTCATCGACTAAGGCAGACCGCTCCGTTGACCTATCTTCATCCGGGGTCTCAGCGGTACAGGGCTCTTCAGGACTGCCTCCAGCAGAGTAGACAGAGACAAAGAAGTCATTCAGTAACTCTGCCATCTCTGTATCTTCTGTCACCAGGGCACCCGTCCCGTTCATCAGCGGGCCTACATGGCCTCTGGTGTTAGTCCAACTTATCTGATTTATGCCATTCTACAACAGAAATAAATTGAACCTGATAAACTTTGTGCTGGTGAGATCAGTCATTAACCAATCTACACTTACTGATGTGGAGTTTCTATTGACAGTGTATGACGCTTCTCAAGCAAAAACAAACAGCAAAGATATTTATGCTGGTCTGATTGCATTCCAAGCAACTTGTGTCTTATTAGCTTGAAGGAAAAGGAGCCTAAAACATATTTTGAGAAGAAAAATTATTAGGTCAATCTGACATGTGCTGTGTGGGAAAACATTCCACGGGAAAATGTGACCATACAGCTATTTGGCATCTCAGAAACAGAATTAATCCTAAGCATTTGTTTGCTGTCATCAACAACAATGGTGGACCAGCAGTAGTATTAAACTGCAGAGAACAAAGAACAGCATAAGACCAGGGAGAAGGTGCAATATATTTTTTTCTGAAAGAGTTCCTATGATAAAAATGAGAATTATTGCTTCCTTGATAAATGCATTAAGATAACATATCTGAGATATTGAAAGCTTGCTTTGTGTTAAAATGGCCTTTGTGACTACTCTTGACTAAACATTTTGCAGTTCAAGATTCACCGTTAGTTTTGTTTGTTTTTCTTTTTTAAAAAGACATGCACAGAAATGCAAGTATGAAATGAGGTGTTTTGTTTTTTCTTTTCAGTGTGCAAAATGAACTATCTTTTTCCTATTAAATGAACTATTACATCATTTAACACCCCTTCACACAACCCCCAAAAAAGAGAACTCCAAACCAAAGTAAGCCTAGCCTTGTGTATACTGTGCTAAATAAATACCAAACTGAGCCTTCTGTGGCAGTTTTTCTTTTTCTCTGCTTCTTCCTACCTTGCTTGTCTTAGGTTAGTATGGAAGCTTTCACAGATGGATTTTGGTTTTAATTACCATACCAATTAATATGCATATCTGTAGTGTGCTGTGCAGTTGTTAATTGTATAGGTAGTAAACCCGAAGTATTAAAGTCTGTTCAATTGTAAATTAGTTCTTAAAACCTCACACTCATCCATACCTCCTCCTGGTTTCAGCAACCTCTGAAGAGAGCTTTTTAGATAGTAACGTTTGCAAAGTTGTCAAGATAAAACTGAATGTAACTATTCTTGTGGGCTAGAACAGTTACCTGGTTTTGAAAGTTTAGAAAGTGAACCATTTTCTACACACTTCGTGGGCTGGACCCCACAGCTCACTGTGGAGTAGAAGAACATTATTGTTCAGCAGTAACAGTCAGCAAACTTGGTGTACAGGGATGGGGAAGTCCTTGAAATTTAGTTCTGTTCCCCAGAGTTTCCTTTTTTTTCCAGTTGTGGTATCAATGCACGTTAACATAAGCTCAGCCAGGGTGTTCTGCTGTATTACCAATGTTTGCCTAATGCTTCTGGAGGACTAAACTAACTCTTCTCTGGTCATGGTGTTACACATTGCTACAGCCTCAGTTCAGCAGAACAGCCAAATTAATGTTTGTATCTATAGTGATTACAAGAGTTCATCACTTTATTTTTTGTACTGTTAAGAACAGTGTTGGCCTATTCGGAGTACCAGAACTAAATCATGTAAGTTTGTTGTACTACTCTGTGTTAATAATTATGTCAGGTAGCACAGAATTTTAAGATGTTCCTTCTAAATTCTGTCAATGGCAATGCTACGAGCTAACAGGATTGAGAGGTGACACTCATTCTTGTGTCATGGTTGATTGTATTTTATGCCTACAGAAAAAGTGAACTCCAACTGAAAGATTTTTAGTGGCTGGCACGTTTGTGTAAGCTCTTTCACAAACATTTTCTTGCTCCCAGGGTGTTTATTTCCCTCAGTGAACACTTTCCCCTATCTGGCTGTTTTCCCACACAATATACCATCATAAACAGGGACCTTTATATTCAAGTACAGAATATTTCTGTAGGATTTAACTGTATAGCAAGCTGCAATTTATTGGTGTACTTAATGTCTCTGAATTTATTTTAATGGTTAATCTGTTTCTTTAAAAGCTTTATATTTTGCAGAGATAGAACTTGATTCACAAACAAGGGATTGGTGTATTTGTACCTTTCAAACAAACAGAATGCATGGCTTTTAAATAAACAAGAATATACAATTTGAGGGTAATTTTCATCCACCCCCTTTTTCTTTCATACACTAACTAATCCTGTATTTTGGCTGTTAAAATAACTTGTGGGAAAAGCTGCTCTTCCAATGATTTTCCCTAGAAACCAAGTCATAAATGAAGTGTCATACTCTGTGCTATGGATAAAACCACAGCGAAGCAGTGCCAGCACTGAGGCATCCTATCATTTGGTGTGTACCTGGGCCTTAAAGACTTCATCTCTAGAAAAGCAGTTTGATTCACTTCAGATGCACAGGGTCGTGTTTTTTTCCTTTACTCTTGAGGGTGTGTGTAAGCATCTTGCTAGACCTTTGTTTTCTTTTAATGTGGAAAATTGTTTTCTGGATCATTGTGTAGTAATTTAACTTTCATCTAGATATATTAACCAAGTATTTGATGCTATTTTTTCTGTTATCCATCTCATCTTTTGCTTTCCTCCTTCCCCTAAAAATACCTTGTTCTTTCCCACCACTTCATAATCCCTGAATTGCAAAGCTTATCTGTGGAGTTTCAATACCAGGTTTCCCAAATACTTTGCTTATTCTTCTTTGGGGGGGGGGGGGAAGAAAAGAAAAGCATATTGACTATATTTTTCTGTATTCTGAAAAAGCATTGTCTCTAATAATTGTGCCCATAAAACTTACCTTTAGTGAATACCATAGGTATTATTTTTTCCTTCCTGGTTAGCATGTTTCTTTTAACTTCCTCACAGAAAGAAATCAGAAGTTTTTTGATACAAGGACCATCTGTCCATTTTCATGTCTTGTACCCAGCAAAATAGGCACAGACCTGGATGGGGACTTCATGTGTTACCTTTATTCATCTTCTTAGTAAAAGAGTGATTCGTTTATTATGAATAAATAAAATATTGTAAAGAAAATATTATTTATTATAAATAAAGGAATTAACAATGAATTGCAAGGCAAGAGCATGACATGAATGTAACATGAGATACACCTGCGTGTATCTCATGTTATACAAATTAAAGCACAGTATTGTAAATGTGTGGGAAGTTTCATGTTGGGTTGATGCCATTTATAGCATCTTGTTCAGACTATGAAATTGTGTTGGCAAGGATCTCAAAGAATAGGAAATCATGAATTGCTCTTTCTGATACTGGAACACTGAACTTTTTTTTATGGTGGCTGAAATAGAAATGATGTAGACTTTTATACTGTGTAGTAAGCTTTAGATTGGGTGCATTTAGTCTATCCTGTGTCTGTCACTGGAAACTGCAGTAGTAATGTCGCACAGTGGTGTGAAAGCCACAGCATTGGGATGGTAGTCATTTATAGTAGGCATATTACAATAAATTAATTTTGATCAGTAGAAGATCACTTGTATGATTTACTCATGCTTTTCAGCATATTTTCTGTTCATATCTTCTGTTGCTTAGTGTCAGAAATCAGATTTTAGGGAAGCTCATCTTAAATGTCAAGATATGAGGAGACTTTGCTGGTGATAAAATTGAAGTACTTGTAAATGTGCCCTTCTCACGGGGCACCTGTAGATCCCTCCTTCACCTAGGGATGATTTTGGAGAAAATACAACAGTAAGCATCATAGGTGATACTATGCCTATGTCTGACAGAGATATCTGAAAAATCCACTCAATAGAGATGTATCAAAATATGTTTAAACTAAGGGCCACAAACAGAAACATATGGTCTTTCTCTGTGAGATTAAATCTATTTGGTGACTTAGAATTAATTTCCAAAGCATAGTAATTTGATTCCTAGTATCAAATAAAAGCTTACAAATACTTCCCTTCATATTATAGGAGCAGCTAACCATTTCAGAAACAGCTAACCATCTGGAAGCTTCTTAAGAGTGTGTTTAAGCTGCTTTTGGTGGTGTTGAACTGGAAGTTGGAAACTCTTCCTGTGACAGATATGTTCTTGCTATATAACTGCTTTGCCTCCATTTTCAGAAATACTAGTCAGTATTTTAGCTGGTCCTCTGGTATTTCACCTGTGTTAGTTTTACATATTTAAATTGCAAAAAATGCATGAGATCTGCTTGCATTTGAAAAGACAAAACATTCTAGTATGTGTGTATATATATGATAATTTAAACCCTTGTAAACAATGTGCTTTTAATATGCTATGCCAGATCACTTCAGTGATATTCTTCTGTTCTTGTGGTTACAAGGTTTTCTTTTCCCCATCCGAAGAAATCAACAGGAATAGCACCTTTATCTTCAGAACAGAAAGTCTAAGTCTGCTCCCTAACTTGCTTGTGTATGTAGGATGTTGGTGGCATATGTTTGATAGCAAAGGGGCTTTACTTCTCAGACTGTGCAATACTAACAGTTGCCTTACTGGAGTTTAAAATTAGTACAATGATATAGGACTTACTGGTTTAGCTGACCTGTGAATTGACTTATGAGGTATAGGGAATTTTGAATTCTTATTAAGTCAGGACAGAATTCCTGAATACTTTATTGTAATTTTAATTGATTTTTAGACTTAGAAGTTTAAAAGATTGTAAATGCACACAGGTCTTACAATATTTCAGTTAATTTACAGAACCATGTTATAAATGTTCTGTACAAAGATACAAAAATTGTCTGAAGTTTGATATCTTGTTCTTCATTCAGCAGTGAAACTGCATGCCTAATTGTTTGTTTTGTTTCCTTTTAGATGAAACGACTCCTAAAGAAGTCAGCAGGGTAAGTGCTACTCTCCTCTCTGAAAAAAGGTATGGTCTCTTAGGCCTACTGGTCACTTGAGATTATTTTTGTTCCGTGTCCGGTCAGGATTTTACTCTGTTCCCTTGACATAGTGGATAGTTAAAAAAAAAAAGAAAAAGGGTGTATTGACTGACCAGAGAACAGTTAACAATTAAAATAAATATTAAGAACACTTGGTTGGCTGTAAATAATTTTACATTAACAAATTTAGAGTTCTCACATTGCTGTTTTCATGTTCTAGTGTAAAAAAAGTATTTTATGGAAACTAGGAAAATCATGGGAACTTTCAGCATAACAGCATAACCATTTAATCAGTGTTACTGCCTTGAGAGAGGGCAAGCATAGGAGGAAAAAAGGGAAGAAATATGCCCTATTTAATAACTGCCTTTGACATGTGCTGTGGTGTTCTTTAATTTGAAATATTTTGCGTACTAAATGAAATATAATCTAAAATGTTCAGAAACTTATTCAGTAATATATTCCCAACTCTAGCCTTACATCTGATTGACCCTATGTCCTGCAGAATATCGATTTGTGGTTGAGGACTAGTTAGGAGGTTCTGTTGGAAACCAGTGCCTTGGCCAGGAATAACAAAAGATCAGCACAGGACAGTCTTTTGCCGTGAGATGCTTCCAGTCAGCCTGAAGCACCTAAATGTTATTTCATATGAGGGAGCCACTCTGAGCTTTCTGAGGTGGAGTCATAGTCCTATTTTGATCCTCTTCTTGAATATCTTGCATAAACTGTTTCACGTTTCCAGGAGAAGTGCTGTACTGTCAGACACACATTAAAAATAAGGCTTATTGAAAGACTGCAAAAGCTGGCTGGGTGGTCTTGCTCCCAGGAGAAGTCCTTTGGAAAATACCAGCGTATGGAAGGCGTGGAAACAGGCTGGTGGTGGAAACCTCAGTTTGGTAACCCTGAGAGTAGAGGGCTGCCATAAGAGGGAATGCAGTTCACCTCTTCCAACACTACAAAAAAGAAATTATGTGTAAAATTAGTTTTAAATTAGTTTATTCAAGCAGGGTTTGTACATATATGTGATGTGCTATAGATGTATAAGGGTGTTGAGAATTTAGGTGAAAATAGTATGGTTTAGTAATTCATTAATTTGTAACACCTTTTTTTGGTCATCCCTTGGTATTCAACATTTACAGCAGTAGAGTAAGTGTATATTACAACTATAGTTGTAAATGTAACTAAAGTTTATTGTTATCAGTGTATCTGCATATATATTGTTCTGCCAGGTTGGAAGGAGTCTTGGGTGACACAGTTTAGTGTGTGGTGTCCCTGCCCATGAGGGGTGTTGGAACTAGATGATGGTAAGGTCCTTTCCAACCCTAACTATTCCATGATTCTATGATTTCAGTGTAATTAAAGATCTACCTAGAAATCTTAGAGCCATAATTATTTCTTTGGAAGAAAGTTCCTTATATTTGTCATTAATTTGGAAAATAGTTTCATTTTTACCTAAAATTCTGTAAAATGGGATTAGAAAACATATCCAGGTTGCTACATTTGAGCTGTTTGAGGCAAAAAAAAGAAGAAAAAGCAAGCTCTGGAACCCTGAACCCCCCACCCTGAGTCTGTGTTGCCAGTCATCATCCCTTATGCCTCTCAGGCATGCTGGTCCCAGCCATCTCAGCCCATCAAAATCATATGAATCGACTTAAGAGGTTTGCTGAAGATGAATGGGTGTCACCTGAAGTCCTGGAGTCAGTGGGGTGCAAATAATACTTCAGATGATGTTTTCTGCATCGTTTTTTGGGGAGTTTTAAGCTATCAGTCATAGTGTGTACAGTCATGATGTGCACACTGTGTTACTCTACTTTTTAAAGAAAAATACCTGTGGGCACTTAGTAATGCACCACATTGTAAATGAGCATGTTTGTTATATTAGTTTTGAATAATGCCATATATTATAATGTAGACCCTTGCAGTATATTATGTTCTTCAGTAGCAGCTCAAACAGATGCCAGTTTAATTAAAATCTGAACATAAATTAGAATTTAAATTGGGAAAGTTCTGTATGTGAGTAATGTTTTTCAGACAAAAAGAAATGTTCATGCTGACTGAAGAATTATGAGTTTTAAGGTCATTAAGTTACAATTTTAATTCCTGAAAATGTCTGCAAGAAGCAGCTTATATCATTGGAAAGCAAAAATAAAGGTTAGTGAAAGTAAATCTATTGCAGAATTAAAACACCAACTGCTTTAAAATGTTAGCTATGAACCAAGGTAGAAATATGTTGAAAAAATATGGTTTTCATTGATGGGTTGTTTTTTTTCCATCTTTCAATGTTGGGCAGAGTGACAACATGCGAACATTCATAGTCATATGCCTGACACTGGTTGGTTCAATAGTCTCCCTTTCTGTTGTGCTTGCACAGAACAACAGCATTAAATTGGGGGAGGATATTATTTATTACATTTCTTTAACCTCTTTCTCCCCCCCCCAGAAAGCCTGTCCTTTTTTCTTTATAAACATACCTATTAGAGCCCTGGGGCTCTAAATACTGAACATGTCATTCCTTTACATTTTTTTTCTTTTAATCAGCAGAATGCAGTGGGATGAATGGTGTCCAATTTTGGGGGGGGGGGGGGGGAAATAAATCTTGAATTATTGGAAGGAAATGTCTGTATTTTTTCAAGGGCATATATTGCAATTTCACACTTTGAAAACTGAAGAAGTTCTGAAAACTGCAGTGGTATAGGAACTGCATTTTTAATCTTTTGCCATTTTTAGCAGCTTAATAGAAAAATTAAAATCAAGTAGCGATCTCAGCTATCAGTATTAAGTTGCATGCTTTTGAAACAAGAAGAGAGTGGGAGAAACCTTCCACATACATTAAATTTTGAAATCTGTAGAACAGAAAAGAACCTTTTCAAAATTTATTGTCTTTGAATCTGGTCTGCTGATGGCACTTTCATCAATATTTTGGTGTTCAGAAGTTATGTGTAAATTTATGAGAGATCGGCCTGACATAATATCTCATCGGAGTGGAGGAAGATTTCGCCATTCCTGTAGACTGTTTTTGGCATAATAACAGCTCCGGTTGCAAAACATCTCGTAAGCATCTGTGACCAAACAGTGAACCTGTGAACTTTTTTCTGCATGCTAGATTCCAGAATTTATGAAATATATGTAACTGGAGACAAAATCGCCGCATGATATAGTATTGGGAGCATCCTTGGAAATGCTGAGTTTCTTCTGCTTACTTATTGTGCAGATGTGTGTTGGCTGATCCCATTCATCCTAGCTACAGAAGGGGTTTTCTGGACAGAGGGATTTCAGAAAGAAAACCAGCTATTGAACTCTTTTGATGAAGCAAACTTCAGCTGAATTTTGTACTTTGTTTTTACTGGTTTATCCACAAAGAAAATGAAAATAGAGGAGCTTGAGTTTGAATACTGTGTGTGTATTCATGTACATCTAGACTAAAACTGTATTTCTTTGACAGTGTTAGTGAAAACAGTGTGCATCAGAGACATGTTATTCTTTTCAGCTGGCAAAAATAACCCCATTCCTTACATGAACTATAGCCAGGATTTTGTTCTACGTGCTGCTAAGTTTCCCATGATCACTGTGTGCTCTTTTGTAGTGCAGATTCTGAAGTTTAAACAAAAATACTTCATGTTCCTGATATGATCACAGCAAAATTAGCTGTTGTTCATTTTGCTTAATGACTTTCCATTCCATGTTTACTTGAACAATACTTCCAGTGAAGCTGCTTTTTGGCAAGTACCTTTGCTTTCTAAACTCCGGTGATGCCAACAGCAAATCACTTTGCAGAAGTTTACCATATAAACATCAGAAAATTATTACCTAGCAAGTGACTAGCTCATTTATAGTACTTTCTTCTTGGAAACAGGAATAATACTTTAATCGTCCCCTTTCCCCTTTTCGGACTTTGGGCTTTTGGCAGCTGCCTTGGCACCAGCTAGCACCCAGCACAGTATGTCACTGACAGTTACAGAATTAGCAAGTGTGTTTTCAGTAAATAGTTGCAGTAATTGCATGTATCTTCACCATGCAACTGATAATAAAAGTTTTTGCTTTTTATGACACATTGGCAAAGCAGGCTCATTCTTTGCAGTATTTCCTTATTAAAGATGTGATCTGAATGTTTTCACACAGTCTCAGAGCTGAAAACTGCAGCGGATTAATCACAAAGTTAGGGGAACTAGAGCAAACGTACATATTTAGCCTTTAGGAGTGATAGCATTGCACCCATTGTCGTGAGAAGATGCTTGTGTAAGCTGATGTCTTTATAAAGAAAATCTTGTGGATACCGTGGTGATGATAAGCAACAGTGGTAGGAAAATGAGAAAGTTTATTTTTAATTTTGTACATGATGTCTTTAGAGTGCTTGCAAGTCAAGTATTAGGAGGGAATGTGATTTTATAAAAAGCTTTTTAAAAAGAGGAGCAGTATTCAGCCTTGTCAAGTTAAAATGAAGCTCATTATGGTATTTTATTATATAACCTAGAGAGGTGATATAATTGAGATATTAATGCAGTTTTATGAGCCTTACAGTTAATAACAGCCTATATAGTTACTTCTGTGCAATCATGATGTTCTTTTCTCATAATCCAAGTCTTTGGTTTTTATTGTGTATTTTTCCTATTACTAGGGAAGCAGTTTGTTTCAGTGTTGCCACTTGATAACAGGGAAGGAGATGATGGAATGATTAGAATTGGATGCCAGTGAATGGGGGCTATTTAGAGAGAAGCTTCTCCTAGGGAAGGTGTTCACCATCTCTCCAAGTCTGAGAAATCAGCTATGTAAACAGGCTGTGAAACATGTGCCTTCAAAACTAGTGAGCCCGTGCAGAGTGAGAGAGCTGATTTGCATATTTTGACATAGTAAAGCCCATCTCGCCAAATGCCATCTTGTATTTTTCCTCCTTTCCTTTTGTCATGAACAGTATTTGGTGCATGAACAAACAATTCACCTGTGTACAGTGTCTCAATGTTAAACTTTATTTACTGAGCAAGTTCTAACCCATGTCCTCTGCAGTCAAAACAAGAATAGGTGTCAGACGAATTGTTTAGAAACAGTTTTCTCTGAGGCTATGTAAAAGTATTAGAATTAATCACCTCGGTTCAGTCTGCTCTTTATAGCTTCTTGCTTTTCAGTGTCCAAGTTTAGACAAAGCTGGTTACTCCAGCCAATCCTGGTTACCCCTACTGGGTTTTTTTAGAGCAGAGAGATTTTTCTGAGCTTCCTCTCCAAGTTCTGTGCTCATGTGAAAGCCGGCTCTGCACTGTAAGCTTGCTTACAACACTCTGTCCGCTGTTAATTTTCAGTCTGAGAATTTGACATCCTTTGGCTCAGCATGTCCACCTTGAGGCAAAGTAGCAGTATTGCTCCCTTTCTGTAGGTTTTCTTTGTGGTGTGTTTTTTTGTTGCTGGGGGTTTTGTTTGTGTCTGTTTTTTTTTGTTGTTTTGTTTGTTTGATTGTTTGTTTGTTTCACTTTTGTAATGAATGAAGTCCAGGTCCATATTTCTGTTGTTTCACGTGTGTGGTTTAGATGTGTTTTCACTGTTAGTAGGACACAGTTACCCCTTAGTTATCTGTGCCCCGAAATTAGAAGCACCAGATTCTGTTCTAGATATGAACTAGCCATCAGTGTAGCTGTGTGTCCTTTTCCCAATTTACTTAATGGTTTAATTAAATATTTACTTATTTTTCTGCAAGCATTTCTTTCTTTATACCCATTGTTGGATGAAAATGCTTGATGCATGCTAGAAGAATTGGTCCCTGCTTTCCCAAAAGTGTGCTTCCAAGGCATATTCATGTGACAGGTCAGCACCTTCTCCTGTTTCCTTGGCAAAATGCCTGTGCTGTGCTTCCACAACTTCACAGCCACCTCCTACAAGAGATACCACTCTGGCCCTCATAACCCTGTGGTCAGCTACAGGCCTCCTCCATCAGTTGACAAAAAGCTCTGTCTTGTAGTTCTCTCTCACATCCTCTGAAACCAGCCTAAGATGCCTAAATTACAGATGAAAAATAAGCAGCATCAAAAGGAATCTCTCTGGATGTAGCCATTTGCCCCCATGTTTTGTGGCTTTCAGTTTGGTTGTTTTGGTTTTGTTTGGGGTTGTTGTTTATTGGGTTTTTTTGGTTGGTTGGTTGGGTTTCTTTTCCTAGCCTCATGCAATGAAATTCTGCATCCCCAAAGTACATTTGGCCATCTCTCTCCACATTACATGGAATTTGGGCTGTCCATTTATTCAAATTCCTACTACCCAGTGATAATGTCATATACTACACAGTCTGTAAAAGGGTGTGTTTCTGTTGCAGAACCAGGCAATTGTTGCTGTGGAGAAAGAGCTCTGTGGTAGGGAGTACTGTGAAGTTGCTCTTCTCATTGCTATTCAGAAGACATTTTAAGAAGTTACAGAGAAACCAGATCAACTTTTGGATTATGTTGGCATTTATCGACCATGTGCTGTATTAATGAAGGCTTTCTGTTGCAGTAGAAGGGCTTTTTCTTTTCTGCAGGAGCACAAAATGCCCCTGGCACATCTACCCTGTAAGCATGAAAGCATGGAAATTAATATTCATTTCTGCTTGTCGTACGTAAAGTTTACTTTAGTCCTTGAATATTTTAATTTTTGTGTGTGTGTCTTAATTGTTCAGGATGAATGCTTAAAATTCATCTCACTCTATGATATTTTGATATTTCCTCTCATGGAATAAAATGTTTATGATCCTCAGCCCCTTTGTTTATATGTAAGTCACAGCACTGTTCATAAATCACTTGTCATAGGCTGCTGTCTTCTGTTGTACCACAGTATTTTAAAGACAAATAACCATAGAACCATTTTTAGATGAGTCCTGCAAAAATGCCCTTCTTTCATACATATAAATTTGAATATGACTATTTATAACAGCATTTCCCTTAATTGTTATTTATTTTCACAGTGTTATAATAATATGCAGCTACTAGAAATACGATGCCAGTATGGTAGTGGTATGATAGTGCTAAATCAGTTTTTCATCCACTTGAATTATTTTAATGTAATGTCACTGAAATACAGAATTTTACAGTAAGTATGCAGGAATACCTGTAGACTCTAAATCTTAAATAGAAGGAAATCAACAACAGAAAGAATTAAGTAAAAGGAGGTGAGTATTAATGATGTTTAAATTGCAAACTAAATTATTATAATGAATTAGGAAACAGTATTTTCATTATATCTGATGACAAACAAGTAGTCTTTTTTCCACCAAGTGTGTTAAATTTTTTTGAGGAATTATTTTCCTAAAGTAAGTTTTACACCAGATATGCGCAGGTCTATATTAGCAACACATTGGATCTAATGATTGTCAGTAGTAGAAATCTGTCGTATTTCAACTGGATGTATTATGCAACTATCATTTTTTTTAGTACCATGGATGCATGCAATGATTTGCCCTGCGTACAAAATGTTTGCAAGCATATGTTGCAGAGGTGAGGATAAAGGGCACATAGCTTATTATGTAATTACTATGCACATGGAACTGCTGCTTGATTACAGGAAAGTTGTTATTCTGCAATGGCTGTTATGCCAGTGGGCTCATTTTGATGATGCATTCTCTTAAGGTATTAGCTTTAACCTTTGAAGATTTGATTTAATATTGACTGTGCATCACAGGTCAAGACATATGTATGCATTTTGAAGTTCTGAGATGGCATTTTTCCACGTGATAAAGGCTCAGTGCATGTGTGCTTGATTAGCTATTGTTGCTTTACGATAGGTGGCTACACATGCTTTTGCAGATATAGGTTAGCATGTATGAATAACATAGATTCTCATTCACCATTTTCCTGTTATATGGCTACTTACAGCTATATCATAAGTCTGAAAATTCAACTTTAATGAAACTATGCTTTGTTTTCTCCCTTTGAAGAATCATGCAGTAGTAAATATGGGGCACAACTATGGGGACAGTCACTGGAAGCTTGCCAGGGGACATATGGTACTAATGATTATAAAGGCGTGTTGTATTGTACAGTCAAGATTTACAGCAGATTATGCATGTATGCAGTGTGACCTTATATCACTGTAAAAATTATAAATGCTACATCAATTCATAGAAAGAATTATTAAATGTTAAGTTTGTTATACATTGAGAACATTTTGGATACCCTAGGTCTTTAATGTTCTAATATGTCCGTCTGCAGCAATAGATTTATACCACATGATGTATTAAGAAGGGGTTACAGCAAACACTGCCATTTTAAAATCAAGATCAAGATCTGCTTAAAGAAATCAGGAATTGTTATTGTCAGCAAGCACTTGAGCTTTTTGTTGGTGGCATTTGTTGGGTTGCTGGGGTTTTTTTGAGGTGAAGAAGCCAAATGTATCCTATATATATATGGCTGTATGCTTTGTATTCATGACATAGTGTGTTGTGCATAGAAATGCATTAAAGTAATAGTAGGAATAAACTTATAGCATGGAATATATTGTAAGTTACATGTGAAATCCGTCAGTGTCACGTGTACAGGTTTACCCTAAGTTACAAAGAAGATCTGGAGAGTTACAGGGCAGAGTTAACATACATGCACATGAGCATGGGAATAGTGGGTAGAATGTAGTATTCTGAAATTTTATGGCATTTTCCACAGTGTTGTTTACATTAGTCTAATCTATATTACATTTGGTGCTAAAGTGTGAATGAGTTGGAGAATAAGTCTTAGCCTTTCAAGCAACATTAATATGTGTAAATATCGTCAGCTTCATTTTTAGTTTAATCAACATAATTTACCACATCACTGAGTTCAGTAAGTAATTGACCATATTGCTTTCTTCAGTTACCAAATTACCAGTTTTGGGCAGGGTAATGAATCTTTGCTTAGTGCAAAGTATTGCTTTCTCTGAAATTATTGTTTGTCATCCTGTCATGCTGCACACACACATTTACTGCCAGTTTTATCAGTCCTTCAGCGTTTGGGAACTGGATAACCAAATGCAGCTGGGCCCTTGAGGGGAGGCTGCATCTCCTTTCTTGTGGTTGTTTTAGCCATCTCAGGCTGTTTCATCCTACCAGCAACCGGTACCCCATTGCTCCTATCTAAATATCCTACATAATTTGTAATTTCTTTCTTTGTCTTTCAGCTTCAATTGAAACAAATGCCTCTTAGGCCACAATGGATAGTATGATTTTTGACTTGTGCAGTTTCTGTCCTTCAGTCTAGTGCTGGTAATTGCTGAGCTCCTTGACCTACCACCTCAAAGTCCTGGTACTTGGCACAGTTCTGTCCCTATGTTTATGAATTTGAGGTGGAAGATGCTGGCAGTCAGCTAGTTGCCACCTTTTATAGTGGAGCTGGAGCTTAAAGGTGTTGAAAACTGCTTACCTTATAATTGAGGCATCCCTCAGTCTCCTCATGTGATCTTGTCTAGGTTTAGGTGATTACTGATTGCTCAGTGGTGTACTCCATACACTATGAACAAATGTGTAATGGAGCATAGACTGGAGTGCCATGTGTCTTGCTTGGCAGTGACCCAGTTCTTAAGGCAGCTGAATTAGGACAGTCACAACTGGCTTGGTGTTGAAATACCTTCATATTATTTTTAATGCAGTTTTGTGTTTGAAACCTCTAAAATACATCTGAATTGTTCTAAAATGTTCTTCTCATCTTTGCTTCCATAGTACCAAGATACAAATATGCAAGGTGTAGTGTATGAATTGAACAGCTACATAGAACAGCGCCTGGATACAGGAGGGGATAATCAGCTACTTCTGTATGAATTGAGCAGCATCATAAAAATAGGTAAGAAGGAGGATCAGATATCTCTGAGCTGTTACGTAGTATTAGTGCACAGCATATTTCTAATGTGATTTAATTAATAAAGACAGGTGTTGAGTCATAATGCTACTTTCTTTGGATGTTTCAGTATGAGCTTACTTTGCTTTCTGTTCCTCAGTGAATTCCTGACTGCACTTCAGTGATTTCATCTTTGGATAGAGTTTTGTATCCAATTGCATAATTAGAGCCCCCCATTAAATGAACCAGAGTAGACTGTTCTGATCATGATGGTGTTGCAATGTCAACATTGAAAGTAAAAAAAAGTAATCTATTGGTAATATCGCTGCATACTTGAACCCCATTTGAAAGAAACCTGAGATGTTACTGAAGGAGAACATATCTTTTGTGTGATCTCTATTCAGCTGTTAACCGTTATTTTTCTATCTGATGTAAATACCTTTTGTGGTAAGAAAATGCTATGCATGACCAAAAGTTTAGAAATAAACAAACAAAATTTCCTAATAAGAATGTAAGCGTAATTCAGTTTCTTTTTAGCCAGAGTGGATGTACACAAATTTCAGTAGGAAGTAACAGTAGTTTTGTTCAGTACAGCTCTCAGTCAGCTCTTTAGAAAGGTTTTACTGATCCTACTACTTCATCATCTTGTAATGATGAATTTTAGCTTATCTACATGATGTATTTAAAAGGACCGCATTTATTTACTGATTTTGCTTAAGTGGTTACTTGGATACTGATGTCTAGCAGATAGCAAATCAGACTGGATTTTGTTAATATGCAGCAAGCAAAAAGCTATAGGAGACAGGGTCTGCTATCTTTTACAATATTTTTTTTCTTTTGTAAAGCAGATGAGTTTATGGTTTTTTTATACTATTTTTTTTCCAGTGCTTACTTGTCTGGTAGCTCAATATGCTTATGTACCACATCTGAAGGTTTTAAAAACTGAATGCAAATTACCATGCCCTGAACCCGTTAGTGCTGTTACACAGTTGACAATAGGCAAGTAACTACAAAAAAAAAAAAAAAAACAAAAAAAAAGGGGGGATTTTTTCCTATTGTCAAAGAAATGCAGAAAGCCAATTGATTTAATCACACACAAGTCTAATAACTCCTCTGAAATGTACTAGATGGATTCTTGTGTTCATTCATTAAAAAAATGAATATCAGATATGTGCATTTACTGGTTAAAATGTTTATTAACTGTTGAAAAGACAGACAAAGTGTCAAAGTCTATTGTGTAAAGCCAGATAAAAGGTCCTTATTCCCCTATCCTCTTCTGATTTTGAGAGTTTTCACTTTAGCAATAAGTTATGATGGGTGGTTGACTTCAAACTTTTGAGACATTAAGGAGCTTGACTTCACCCTGTTTCACACAGCAATCTGAATCTTTCACAAATCTGACAAATATGAACTTTCTAGTGTGTGTCAGTGCTTTTAACATGTGGCAGGTACAGAAAATAGAAACTGTTTTGAAACACATTTTTATGGCAATATTTGCAACATTTTATTTCCCCATCATTTTCTATCCTAGGGAAAAGACAAATATAGTTTACCGTCTTTGAATGGTATTTATTTTACTCATGGAAATTATAATGTTATCTGGCTGATTATATTGTAAATACATATTCTTATGTTACTTCTATACTGTTGTATGAATTATTTCAGATTTACAGATGTTAGACCTTGGAATAAAAATAAGATATTTTAAGACATTTATAATTATCTTTTAAAATGTAGTAAATGACAATGGGGAATATTATCTCATACCTCTAATTTTGTAGAGTCTGGGGAGTTTCAAGTGACACAGCAACAGAACTTCACTTTTAGAATTGTAGATGTTTGTCCTAAATGGAACTTAATCTGTGGTTTCACCTCAGAGATCTTGTGTAAGTTCGATTTCACCCTGTGAGTACAATTATTTCTTTTATTATTGCTTTGGCAGCTACGAAAGCTGATGGATTTGCACTATATTTCCTGGGAGAATGCAATAATGTAAGTACACTGAATGAAGATGCTGCTTTTCAGTACAGTTACAAGTGCATTTTCCAATTTGACAAGGATACTTTGATTTCATTTTACATGCTGTTTAGCAGGAAATATTACCTGAGTGCTGGATAACACCTTTACGTTATCTTTATTTCTGTAAAGTAGAAGCTTATCGAACATACTAGTAATGAAAAAATGTTTCCAGCATTTAGATCCTTGGCTTTTTACTTTTTTGTAGTGATTTAGGAGTCATGATGTTGTTACTCTGACTGTTGCAACTTAACTTGTGATTTAGCCCCATTATTAATTGTCTTTAACAAACGGAAAACTCTTTGATTTAAACTCTGCATAGCCTGTTCTTTTCATCTAGTTAACTCTGAGGGTTTGTTTGTTTGTTGTTTTTTTTTAATGCTGTCACGTTTTCTGTTAACTGCCAGCTGCAACTTGATAGTGAGAAAATGTAAATTTTAGATGTAGATTTTAGCTAGCATAAAATAAATTGTAATTTTAAAATTTGCATATGAAGTCAGATTCTGGTGCAATAATTTGAATAACAGGGAATGCAGTTTTTGCTGTTTTGTTATTTGGCATTTAGAACACATTTAATATTTTTCCTATCCAGAGTGATTTGTACAGTTAACCATTATACAAGACTTTGTAGTTATTTTGAAGGGCTATCAAGAAGAAAAAGTAATTTATACTTGTCAGTTCTGTCCATATAAAAAACACAGTTTGTCAGAAATTTTATATTTTTCATTGGTTCAAGAAACAAACTAAACTCTTCTTACTGAAAAATGATGAGAGGAAAATATTTTTCTCATTGTTTTGTTCCCTTACTTTACACAGCCAGCTTTAATAGTTTATTTTTTGTGTAGTCCATTAGCCATTTCCTTTGCTCTTAGTGGCATAATTGAATTCAGAAAAAGGGGAAAGAATGACAATTTTGAAACAGTGGAAGCAGGATTGAAGATGTACAGACCTGCACGTGACTTGAGCCTTGTCTGAGAATAGTTTTTGCTTATTAAAAAATGTAGTGCCTCATCTGAAGGAGGTAGAAGGCTGCCCATACAGAAATCTCCTAAAAGAGGTGGAAGTGGGTTTTATATGTTTTTCATTTAATGATTATTTTGTCTAATAAAGTCCTGTAAATTTGAGTTCTGTAAGTATGTAAATAACATGCATTTTTTAATAACCCTTTGACTGAGAGGTGTAATTTAAGTAACATGTTCACCTGCTGTGAATACAATCTTCTCATTAGTAGGTGGCAGTGTCCGCTGTCATGGGTGGGAGTGATACAGATGGTCACTGGAGCATCCTTCTGCTGCCAGAGGCAGCGCTTGCTGGAAGTTCAGCCATCCGTGCATGCTCATCTCTAAATGTTTTGTAAAAGATGATAGTAAGATTAACTTTACAGCTTCAGACCTAGAGGATTCTTACTGTGGTGAGTTTTTTCCCGTTAGATTAGTGTGCCATAGTATGAGTTTCCTCCCAGTGTTCTGATGCTTTGAGGGCCTGGGCACTTTATGACCTTCTGCATTTTTATTTGTATTTTTTTTATTTTTTTTAATAGCCTATTAGGCAGTTGTATCTATTTGCTTCCCAGTATAGCTTTCCCGAATAAAGTTCCAACCACTAAAAACACACACTGACTTTATTAAACACTGCTATGTAGCCGCATCTCCCAAAATGGAATGTTCTTCATGTAGTTATTATAGGGACTGATCTCAAAGTCCTTTGAAGTTAGTGTGAGATTTTCCATTCACATTAGTGGGCTTTGGGCCAGAGTCATGTTTGTAGTCTTGTAACTAAATGGTAAGGCATTAGCCTATTTTCTGTAAGAAAATGCCATTGAAAATTAATTTGGATAGCTTTGTCTTTTTGAATATTTAATTTAAAGGATGTGTCCAAGTGAGATGAATCATTGTCCAGCAAATACTGTCAATATATTTTTATTTATTAAATATATTTTTTTAAATGTGAGCAAAAAGATACTGTATAGGATAAATGGCAGAAATGAGCTAATTCATGAAGCTGACATTTCAAAAGTTATAAAAATCCTTCTCATTAGTCTGGACAAAATAGTTGCTGAACACCTATGGCCAGATATTGAAGAATGGCTTCTATTTTTTGGTGAATTATTTTTTTTGTTTAGTTTTGTGACTTATGTTTCGCCAGTTCAGCAAAACTTATTTCCCGCCCCTCCCAATCTTAGCATTTGGCTTTTTGTTTGTTAGCTTGAGAAGTACACATGAATCTGCTGGTATTTATGCAGTCAACAGCCTCAGGTTTCAGAACTAGACCTGATGTAACAGTCATTCCCACCATGCTTTCAAAGAAATAATTTGTGCCTGAATACAGCTTTTCTAGAGTGTCTGTGTACGCCTTTTTGAGAATTAAATATTGGAAGGGAATCCTGTAAAAATGGAGGAATCCTGTGAATAAGTAGATACCTACTTTTTCCCAAATGGTTTTCTAATGTTTTGTGATGTGTATTTTGATTCTATTCTGTAAGGGAACTTTGGATCAAAACTGAAGCAAAAGCATTAATTCTACTTCATTTCAGTTCCTGGTATAAACGTGTGTAGGTATAGTTGTGCTCGTTTAAAGAAATCAAAATTTGGGAGTCCTGATGAGTGTTAATCTCAGCTAAAGAACATTTTTGCAATATGAGATTTCCATAACTGCTTTTAGCCTAGATTAAATAGTGAGTTTCTGGATAGAAGATAACTTCCTTTTACAGAAATTCTAGAGATTTACAAAATGAAAACTAGCAAATGATTAGTACATTCTGTGTGCTACTATTCCTAATATTGAGATAATTGCTATATCGCTGCTGTTTTCTTTTTCATGGGTTACTAAGAATTCATTGTAAATTTTTCTTTAGTGCAGTATGTATTATGGGCAGCACTTCCCATACTGAAAACTGAAAGAAAAGTTCTAGATTAGCTGGTACTTTTCTTTTTGTAAAACATAGGTGAATCGCTGGCTTTTAAAGGAGGACTTTGTTTTAGGAAAAACTTGTATGGAGTTTGACAGCACAAATGTGAGTTTGTTAAAATACTTGTCCACATTTTTTTCTTTATGGACTTATTTATCTTCTATCTATTTATCTATCTATCTATCTATCTATCTATCTAGTCTCTCTTTCTATCTATCAACTATATCTTGACTTTTTTTTAGTTGGATAACAGCATAAGGAGAAGGTAATTTCTGGCTGACAGGTCAGGTTGAATGCCTTTAGGATCTTCACTTGAGTGAATTTGCTTAAAATGAAACACGCCACACCAATTGCAGTTTACACTGCATTTCTTTATGCGAGTATTACTCAGAATTGGTGCCAGAATGAATACAGCAAGTTCAGTTATTTTAGCTACTTTCTTGTTGAAATTGCTTGGGAGTGCTAGCACTCTTTGCGCACTTTGCTAAGGGTGTTCTGTTTTTCAAATGGTTGCCTAAAAGCAGGTAAGTACCACTTCCATGCTCAACTCCTTCCTTTACCACAGGTTGCTCTGTATATCAGAATCTGGTTTTGCGTATGCTATACATATGGTAGAATCCATTGCAAAATACTCAGGTACTAGAAACAGTACAGCTTCCAGGCAGACCTATGCCCATACTGGCTCTGGGTCTTGAACTGTCTCTCTATCTAATAAGTCATCTGTGGCCATTTGATAGTGCAGTTATGCAAATAAAATTATTTACCTTTAAGGTATATTACAGCTATTTTGCAAATACTATATACTGGAGACTGGAAACACTTCAAAACAAACAAGAATGTTTCACAACTCTCCAGCAAAGGACTTTATTTCAGTTTTGTGTTTTATTCGCTATGAGGATGGATATATAGTTCGTAATTCTCATGTTATGACTTTAATTGAATATAAACTTCAAACATGAGTTAAAGTTTTTGCTGAAATCGTTATAGTGGATGTAGTGTGTGTGTAAATCAATTGTTTAAGTGGCCTGCTAGCTGGGCATGGATTTAAGCCCGTAAGCTGTCATCTTTACAAGACAGTATTTCTAAAACACTTCTCACAGCTACAGTTTCTAATGTATTATTATATTATCTGATTCTTAGATGCTTCTTGCTTAAATTCCTTACTTGTGTGATTCACCTCATGATTACATTGTGATTCCTACGTAGAGATGCATGACTTCGAATGTAATAGGCAGACACTTAAAGTAGCTGTTCCGAGGTCTTGTGTTACTTACTTCCTGAAGCTGCAAATTGTGTTGACAAAGAGATCATCCTTCCTTCAGACATCAGTTTCAAATAGCTTTATTGAAAGAAATATTATGTGAGGCCACAAATATCTGCACATACTCTCTGCTTCAGGGAGCTATTCTAGAATTTCTGCTCATACAGAAAATGTTGCAGCTTGATTTGCAGTGCCACCTAGTGCATTGACGGGGTGGGTGATTTGAATTATTAAGAACCGAGGGAAAAACGTGTGCTTGCTCACAGGGTCTTGTGCCAGGCTGAGGTGCATTATTTTGAGTATGTAGACATATTCACTGAAATTTGAGTCTTTTAAACATGTTTCCAGGTGAAAGCCTTCTAGCTGCAAGTCAGTCCAGAAAATCTTGGTCTCTGTCCTTGAGTCGATTCTAATATCATGTACTCTTTATATATATAAAGTGGAAGAAATCTGTTGCTTTCTTATTTGCTCATGAATAATGATAGCAGAGAGGGAAAGCTGTTGCTGAGTTATAGTATCTTGAGTTTAACTTTGAGTCAATAAATTATCAAACTGAAAGAAATCAGATAAATAACTGTCAATATTTAAACTTGTGGAATATGGTCATGATGAATATAGGTAGAATGCAAAACTGGTTAGGAGACTAGACAGAGATTAGTTGCTTGTGTTTAACTATCAGAATACCTGTGTATTCTGATACATATGTGTAAAATACCTGTCAGAAGGTGCTGATGGTATTGTGTTATGAGACTTAAGATCCTGCTCCTCATCATTTATGAGGATTTTAATCTGTTTCCTCTGTCAAGCATTAGATTTTGAATAGAAAAATCCCCAAATTTGTGGGGCCAGGTTACAACAGAATGGGAGGATGAACATCAGAAATTTTTCATGTGCATGCTTTTAGCTGTTAAAAGTGAAGAGTAATGAAGGTTTCTTCAGCTGCAGTATAAGAGGTTCAAGGTAAATTACTTAATAATTTTGACAGACTATGTGCATGCCACCAAGAAAAGAGCACTAAAAGCCGTGGTATTATGGCTTATTGGTTATGTACTAATTTTGTTATGTATCCGAAAGCCAAGTTTGTGTGTTTAGGTGTGAATTGAGAATGCTGTCATGTTGCTATCCCTCAGGAAGTAATTACAGTGGACATCATTCTGAACTCATGTAGACTGGAAGACTTGTTAATACATTAGGATTTTAAAAAGAAATTAGAGATTAAATATATGTTGCCTATATCTAAAGTTCCTATGAAATATGAAAGGGTGAACTTTGCTACAACTGTCTGTGTTCACCAGGGTTGAACCTTTGTTATGGTTGTTACAAGTTTTGGATTTTCTCTTGTTTCAGTTTGGATTTTTTAAGTACATCTTGCTCCCTACTGTTATGTTAAGGCCATTAGTGGGTCCCAAGCCACACTGTCACATCAGTCAAAATTCATGAGGGTTTTTTTCACTTTATCAAAGTGAATCAAGAGGTGAAACGGGAGGGAAGGAATTGTGAAGATTCTGGGCCCAGCTGGAACAGACAGCAGGAAAAGAAGCACCTTGTGCTCTTGAGGTTCCAACAAGGTATAGGAGGTTTCTGGTGTCAGACTTCAGTGTCCCCTGCCTAAAACTACACTTAAAGAAGTCCATCACCATAATGGACTTGTTGGAAAAAGATTGGTCATAGTGTAGTTGAACTTCATGTAAGTAAGGAGAGCTGTCTGTGCCTGGAAGGATGGGGAAACAGGTCAAAATAGGGAATTGCAGGATCTCTTGGGCCACCGTGTTCCAGAATTCATGAACCTGGAAGCTTTCAAAGGGTTTGCTCTGCAAACATTTGCTCTTTTTTGGTTGTTGTTTTTTTTTTTTTTGGGGGGGGTGGGGTGTGTTTATCAAGCCCAGAGTGACTTTCTCACCTTGGTTGCCTTCTTCCTCCTCAGCAGCAGAGATATCTAATTATCTGTCTATATTAGATATCTATAATTAGTTGATAGATCATGACATCACTGTATCATTAAAGATCTGCTCGTGTTTACCTGTTTGTGATACTAACATACATTCTCACTGCAGGTGGTTATAGCAGCAAAAGATACAGCGAGCAGTGCACAGGCATCCTGCTATCTCCTTAACCTTTTCCTTACCTTATCTGTATAGTGTTTGGGAAATTATGGGACTTCATATTTTCTCAGTTCCTTTATATATTGAATATATATTGTTTAAGTTGTGGTTGAAGATCTCCTAGTTCCTTATTTTGATTATTAATTGCTGTTAGGCATCACTACCAATAATGCAAACTGTTAGTCTCTTTCTGAAGTGCGTTGAGATTTGGGAGGAAGCATGTTCAGTAGAGCTACTTCATGGAAGGAGTGTCTTTCCTTCCAACTGCATGAGATACATGAAATAAATATGCTCAAATGACTTGTCAGAGCTAAAATACTATGTGGCAGCTCTATTTTATCTTTAAAGGTAGTTTAATTCTCAGCTGTAGCATAATATTAGCAAATGAATAACTGGATGAAAACATCTTTTCCTTGTCTTGCTGAACTTTTTGAGATTGTCTGACTTTCTGTTTAAATAACAGGACAAATACTGACTTACTGGTTTTGTCAGAATCAAGTGTTTTTCTCTCTAAATGAACTCAACTAAATGTCCTAACCATTGGACTGCTGGTTTTGCTTGGATAGACTTCACTCTTGTTTTGGCTGTGAATTCTGTACTTTTCTTTGACAATTTGTTTTCACCTCAGCATAAAGTTCAACTTCCTCCTTCCAAAATGTGATTCATCCATCACAGCTGATGTACCTTCATCACGACAGGATTACCTGCATCTGGTGCATTATATTGCATCTCCTTAGTTTCTGAACATTTCTGTATGTTCTTTCTGAAATTGCTTAGTATGTTTTATAATGTGCCTTTCATGTTTGCAGAATAAAGGAATTATAATTATGAGAGGATGTATCTCAGATCATTGTTTCATTTTGTGCAGCTGACAGTAGGTGAATTTTCAGGTGCAAATTGTACCTGTAGTATTCCATGCTAGAAAAGAGCCCCTCTTTAGTGATTTACTTGGTCCCATAGGGTCCAAGTTGGTAACCGTTGGTCTCTGAAGTTTGTCTTTCTTTTACGCTTGAGTTTTCTTCATCTTGTGGTCCATTTAGCTCACTCGAAGCTATAGTGCAAGGCATTCTGTAGGCTGTGCAGTGAGCTGTGAAGTTTTTACTCAAATAGTAATTGGAGCCTTAGCTACAATAGCTATATTAATAAAAACTTTTTATTGGAGTTTCCATCTATAAAATGAGGGTAGCATTGCCACCCAACTTACAGGGGGGTTGTAATAATGCACGGTTAGAGACTGTGAGGTACTTGTAATACAATGGCATGATATTTAAATAATACCAATTCCAGTGTGAAGTTCCCTGCTTACTGCTAAGGCTCAGCAGAAATCTTACTTAAACAACTCTTAAAAGTTCTTTGTTCAGTCTTTCAAAGCAACATTGGATTCTGAGCTACTGGAATCTGGAGTGCCTGTGCCTCTGCCTCTGTCTATTGTTATAGAAACTCTTGTGAATTATAAACATAGGAGAGAGATTAGTTGTAATTAATACTAATTATCATAACTGTTGATGCTGTAGAATCTTGGGAGCTTGACCCTTGTAGCATCCCTAATGAAAGCAAAGTCTGATAATAAAATTAATCAGTACAAAGGAGTGGCACATAATGTGGCCTTTTCTACCAAGAATGGTAGTAGTACTTCATATGGTGGCACTATCATCTATCTGTGGTATTATTTGTATAAATAATAACAAAATAATAAAAATGTAAAAAATCTATTTTCCTAGCAAGGAATGTTTCATCTTAGTTCATATGGTTTAAGGTCATAATTTAAAATCATATAGCTATTTAGCAGTAAAATTACTAACTACAGGTGCTTTCTGTAGATGTTCCTGGTCTTACAAATTTATTTGGTGAAATAAACTGCATCATTGATTATAGTAAATAAGGAAACACAATTTGCCAATAGAAGGTGGGTCTCTGAGGTGGTGCTTTAGCTCTGTTAATATTAGGGATGTATAAGGAGGGATGGCTCAATACCTTAGGACAGTAAGCTGGAGCCTTGAACATAGAGATTTGATCCCTGCTGTTTTAGCAGTACGTGTAATCTTTGCTGTGTCATTTATTCTTTATGTGCCTGAATGAATTCCCTTTGTGTTTAAAGGGTAATAGCTCTGAGTGCTGAATAGGGTGTGATGGTGGTAAATTTTGAGAGTCTGTGGTCATCTGTAGCTTTAGGAGACACATAAATTGATGGATGTAATGAGACAAAGGTAGAAAAATAAAACAGAAGTCGAAACTTCTTGCTTGTAAAATGAACTGCTCCTGATGATTGCATAGGAGACTGTTTTTTTGTGGTTTTGTGATTTTAAAATTAGTTGTCACTAACAGACTATTGCTTTGCAGGTTCTCTGGGGTGGGGTGATAAAGGAAAATTTTAAGGAGACTGTGATAAAGACATTGTTTTCCAGCATTTTACTGTTCCATAAAGTTTATTTTTCATCCAAAGATGAGTAAAATTTTAGATTTGAAGAGTGTTTGGCATAAAAAGGGTTTGCAGGTTTGACTTTCATGTTTAGTTTTCTGCTTATAAAATAATGTTTGTAATCCCATTCACTCTCATAGTGTTAACTTTTTGTTGTAGAACAATTATCAGATGTTTCTGGATGAGTTTAATGGTATGAATGTCAATACCTGACAATGGTATGAATTGTCAATACCTGAGTTTTCAACAAATGGGACACTTTTAGGCAGGCAGCAAGTAGGATGTTGCTTCTAGTGTAGGGGACGTATGCATTCACTTGTATTTCAAGAAATACAGTGTTAGGATGATTTCGAAATTAGCTTTCCTTAGGATGAGGTAAACAAGAAATTTAAAGATATCTACTTTTTGAGTAATTTCTATTGAAATAAATGAGTGCGTCCTACAAAACAAACAATCTATCTTTCTCTTGCAAGGTAATCTTTTCTTTAATGAGTCTTTATGTGGTGTACTGTGTGTTCAAGGTGAGCACAGTCCAGTTCTGATGTGATGACTTGACCTCAGCAGAATAGTTATCTACTCTCTGAATGGTGACTTTAGAGCAGGATTTCCTAAGATTCCAAAACAGTTGAGTTCATCCAACTACTTACTCATTGTCAAAAGCTGTGTTTCTCTGTATTATCTCCTTTAGCCAATCCTTTACACTAAGCAGGTAGCACAGTAACTCTGTAAAAGTAACCATGCTTTCTAATTGCATTCTTTTATTTTTTTTTCTTTTTTTTTTTCCTTCTAACTAGAGTCTGTGTGTATTTACACCACCAGGAGCTAAAGAAGGACAACCACGGCTCATTCCTGCAGGGCCCATTGCACATGGCACTACAGTATCTGCTTATGTAGCCAGATCCAGAAAAACGTTGCTAGTAGAAGATATTCTGGGGGTAAAAAGCTTTATTTTTAATGAGATGATTACAGCATGTTCTTAGAATGAATGGTTTAATACTGAAATGTTTATTGAGCTGAATGTATAACAATAGAATTTGCATCTGTCTTGCTACCAAGAAAATAAAACTGAGTTTGGATTGGCTTGATGGAATCATTTCAGAATATCTCATTTATTTTTAAGGGTTTTTTTGGTTTGTTTTTTGATTTTTGATTTTTTTGGGTTGTCAGATAAGAGAAGTAATGGAGTAATAGTACCATAGTCACTTGGAGAGAAAAAAAAACAACCAACCCAAACAGTCAAAACTCCTGTCCTGGTCTTGAAATACTCATTGTGCTAATCCCAATCAAGATGACTTCTATACAGTCAACCAAAGTTTGAATTAATTGTAATGCAGGGCTCACACTGACAGGAATGTCAGTCAGAATTCTGTTTATTAGACAGGCTTTTGATCCCTACTTACACTAGGGTAAAGCTACAATACTTAAAATATAGGTAGACCTACATGAAAGGCACACTAATGTAAAAGGTATCAAAATTCAGGCCTTTGTCCATAAAAGGGCTCAGAAAGTCCTGAGGTGATATTCTGATAAATCTTGGTACTCTGTATGTCTGTCCTTTTCGTTTTTTATTTTAAACTTTATGCTCTAGTCACATCTATACAGTTGTATAAAACTGGTATTTAAACTGTACTTTATGAGAACACTTTATGATCAACTGTGAGAACACCAAGGAAGTTGAATTCTTTCCTCTTTTCAGTGTTTTCTGTACTTTGAGTTCTGTCCAGAAAAACAATCTTTGGCTACTGTGGCCAAAATTGGACATTGCTGTCTCTATTTTAAAAAATATCTGTTGCAAAAATGTATGACCTTTATTGGCAAAACTCAGGCTATAAACAAAATACCAAATGCCTAATATAAGTACACTTAAGCAGAACCACAAATGCAAAAGGCAGAAGCCACTTTTCCCAGTAGTAACAGTCAGTGTTTTCTCTGGACTGTATAGATTTTATGTGTTTCTAGTGTTTTTCCAGTCATGTATATGGCTTGATTTGTTACTGGCAATTTGCAATTAATATCATTATATCCTTGTATCAAGGCTTGTGTGTTTTGGTTTTATGTTCATAATAAACTTGGTGAGGGGGAGGTAGTGAGGAGGAGGTTTGAACTTCATTAGTTTACAGTATCAGTGGATTGTTGACTGAACAGGGAGATTCATTTGGGTGATATGGTTTGCCTTCATGTGATTTTAGGAGCATCTCGACACTGTCGGAAAAGTGCTTACAGATAGAATTGCCAGCCATGTCTGGGGGGCGAAGGGACAAAATTAAAATGTGAAAGCAGGAGGCTCATGTTGCAAAGTGCTTACCACTCTCCTGTGCCTGTCATTTGTTCCTACTGGTTCAGATTGATTGTCATCTTAGTAATTAAGGTAGAGATTACTTGCTGGTTCTTTTTAAGAAAGGAGAGATTTTAATCAGCCTTGAAGGAGTGTCTGTCTTGGCTAAGCACAGCCTGTGGGGAACATCTGGTACAAATCAAATACTGAAGGACTGATGTGCAATAAAGTGGGTCTCCCACATTTCACATCGGCTAGTTACTGCCTCACTAACTGTAACATCCAGGTGGTTTCTCAGGTGTTTGTGAGTTTTCCTACATGGGGAACTGAAGCTTTGGACATTCCCTGTGTAGATGAAAAGTTATGAATTTGGGCCTTTTATAGCAGCTGGTAGGATTATTTTGCCATTTGTTCTTATAACTTTTCCACTGATTTATTCAGGATACATAAGAGGAGGAAGATTCTTACTCTCAAGTATAATTTTGGGGGACACATTTTCCTCCTCAGTGGTTGGTTGAGGATTGTAACTTTGTATAACCGAAAGCCTTAGCTTCAGGTTTCAATTTTTGTTCTCTTGTAAGCATGGCTGTCTCCTTCAGAATCCTGAAATCTGAGCAGTCCACTTGATTACAAATGCTTTGGGTTTTTTTGGGGGGGAAAGGGAAGCGGGTGAGGTTGTGTTGTTAGTTTGGGTTTTTACTTAATCTGGACTGGTATAAGCAGTGAAGTACTGGTTTGGCTGCCTGTGAGATCAGAGAAAATGTAATATAAAAAAAACCCTAAAGCTGGCTCCAACATCACAGGTAATTCTGACTTTACATCAATAAGGTTATCTGTAAATGTAAATTAATGCTGAATTTTTAATAGCATTTTTTTTTTTTAGATGTCTTAATAGTGTCTAAATTGTGCTGAGATAAGAGGTTTAGTGAATTTTACCATTTTCCTGCAGATTTGATCAGCCAGGAGGGGGAGAAAAATGTCAGTATATCTTTCATATTAATGTTGTGACAGTTACTTTTTATCACTTTCTGTTTACATTTCCTAGGATGAGCGATTTCCCAAAGGTACTGGACTGGAATCAGGGACACGTATCCAATCTGTTCTGTGTTTGCCAATTGTCACTGCAATTGGTGATCTAATTGGTATCCTGGAGCTTTACCGTCACTGGGGCAAAGAAGCCTTCCACCTTAGTCACCAAGAGGTGAGCTCATGTCTGGCCTTTGCCCACTTCCCCACAGTGGTCAGCACTTCAGGATCCCTGTTCCCCTCCCAGCGCTCTTCTCTCACTCCTCTCATGTGTTTTGTACTTTTTTTGTACTTGACTGTTGTTCTCCTTAAATGTTATTTATTGAAAAATACATCAGTGATTTGTATTCTCAGGAGGTAAAATGAACATATTCAAGTACAAGGACACAGCAAGAATTTTGCCGTGTGTTCTTTTGTGGCAAAATGAGTTCAAGATTGCTTTATTGATTATAAACTCAGTACAGAGTTGTTACAGAAGTTTATGCAGGAGGAGGCAAATGAAATATAAGTGTAAATCAAATGTCAAAACATGAAATAACTTCATGTAAAAAGGATGCTGACAAGTTATCCCAAGTCTCAATTTTAACTTTCCAGAAAGGCTTTATTTTGCAGTATGGAAAGATTTGGGGTTTTTTTTAATGGGTTTTTTGGTGTGGCTTCCCAAGTGAAGGAGCCCTATTGTAAAACATAATGTTGCAACACTGTAGCAAGTATACTAAGTCTCAATCCTAGGCAGGAGAAAGTGATTTTATTTTAGAACAGAAGAGAAGCAAAGAAATTTCACGTGTTTGCATTCACATTCTGAAACTTACAGACACCAAGTTGTATGTGTCCAGGAGGTATTTCCAGGAATCGCGCACAGAGATGCACATAGTCTTTTCAGGGCCTTTTGCTGGGAGGAAAAGGAATGCTGGCTGTCGAGTCCTTATTTCTCCTGGTTTCTTCCTAGGTTGACAACCATGTGCAGGTTTTGGGTCAGCCTTTTCTTTAGCTTTTATGAGCTGGCATCTTCTGTTGCTCTAGCCTATACTATCTTTTTGAGTGTCAAGATGTACTCACTGTACTTTGTCTCCTGACCTAGATGTCCTTAGAAACTGTTGATTACAGTTATCTGGATGACCTGCTAATCTAGGTGCCATTCATAAAGCTCTCTTCTGACTTTTTTTTTTTTTTTCCTTCCTTCTGAAGCTTCCTCATCCCGAAATTCATAACAATCTTCCCATTTCCATGACTGTGCTTTATGCTGCATGGTTTATTGTATTTTTATAAGGCCTCTAGCTGCTTTGTTCGTATGTGTCCATTTATCAAACCAAAGTTCCGAGTTGTTAGCCAAGTACAAACAAATCTGATAATGGAGCAGATGCCTCAAAGGCTATCACTGTATTAGAAGTGTTATAAGTGCATCTTGGTTCTTGTGTCTGGGTGAGGATCCTTATGTCCTATCTACACATTAAGAAAGTTCATACATTAGGACAAATGTAGCGTTCTTTTCTCTCTGTACCCTTCCCCAGAGAAGGGAACCTGAACACAGAGATTAGGACAAAATGAGGTGGGTTCTAGCCATGTCTGTTGTCTCGACAGCGGTACTAGATGCAGCATGGAACAGTGTAGCTGTGCTGAACAGGAATTATTCTTGTGAAAAGAAAATGTGCAGACAAGAGACAGTAAAACCAGCCCTTCCAAGGGAGGAAAACCCAGCAATACTTGTCAAACATATATTCCATTTATCAGTAACCTGAGTAGCCTAGCATACATGTGATGATCATACATGTGTGTGGGGCAGTCACTTCAGCCTCAGTGTTATATCTGATATTTTTCCACCAGATAAGTAGAGGTCATGGTAAGGAACTGGATTAATATGGTGGTGACAGTGTCCCTGCTCACGGAACAAACAACAGGTATTCATACAAAACCAGGCTTCATTAATTCTCCTGCTTATATACTATGTTTTTATTTTTAAAAATTGTTCTATTGCATTAATCAATCTGCAGTTCAGATAGGTCTCAGACATGCATCGTTCTGTGTAACTATGTGTCTTTTCTGCTATATGAAATACCATCTGTAACTGAAGTTCATGAATGTACTGCTAAAAAAAGACTGGCTCCTAAATAAAAGTATTTTATTAGTAAATTATAAAAATTTAAATGTCACTTTCTGAGTGTTCTAAAGCATTCTTTTCATTTTCAGATTTCAGAAAGTCTTTGGATGCCATTAGCAGTTTTTATAAAATGCATACAATGTGTTCTGTTTGGTGGTGGAGGAAGTACTTTAGGAGGGTATGCAGCAGCAGCCCTCTTGTACTTCTGCCCTCTGTGTTCCTATAAAGCTCCTGTGTTTCAAGGACAGGAGATTATTCATGGTAGCACATCTTAGTTAACTGCAGTTTACATGCCATTTGTTTGAAATGTTGCCTGGAAACTGTCTTACTTAAAACACTAGTCTTGGCTGAGGGATCAGGTCTGGTTCTTCTGCCACTGAAATGGTAATGATCGAAACAGTGCCTGTTTGCAGCTGGAAATAGCTGTGGCTCAAGAGATACAGCCCCAGAAAGCTGTTGTGGGATATTTTATTTCTATGGCAGATGCCTTTCAACAGTGTACATAATGTAATTTTTAAAACCCTTGGCTTATGAGACGTTTATTTTGATGTTGTATTTCTGAGCTGATGGGCTCCCAATACTGCTTCTGAAGAGCATTTGTAAGCATTTTCTGGATACTGATTTTGTGACTGAATGTGCCTTACTAAAATTGAAACACTTGCAAGTATACCAAGACTTCCACAAATAACCATCTTCCTAAAGCCTGTCTTAAACAGCTCAGTCAGTTTACTTAGCAGCTGAATGGGAGAAGACAAGAACATTTTCAAGGTTTCTTCAGAGTTAGTTTCTTCTCTTTTGTTTCAGGTTGCAACAGCAAATCTTGCATGGGCTTCAGTAGCAATACATCAAGTACAAGTAAGTGTGAGTGGTTTTTAATTTTTTATTGTGTATCTGTTCTGCCAGAACTTGACTAGCAGGAACATGGATAATGATCAAATTTAAGTGGAGGTCACTATTAGAACATTGATTCAAGACCTTCCTTGAACCTGGGAAAAATACACTAACATTTCAGTGTTCATTATGCGGGGTTTCCTCCCTTACAACTGTGGATCAAAACAAAGACAAAACCCAAACCCAAATCTTTAACAAAGCAGTTAAATAATTGTTAAAGCAGAATTATAACAACTTTGCAGATTTTTATTTTTTTTTTTTTTTAGGGAACTGCTAGGCTAACTGGTTGCTTTTCTTCTGCTTTGGTAATCAGTTTGAGATTATTAGGTGCTGCTGGCTAAGCCTGCTTTAAGCAATCCTTACTAGCTCCTTCATGGACCTGTAACTACTCCCACGAAGGATGCTACATGCTGTCCATAGTCGGGTGCTTAATGAAGCTCCACACAGTGCAAGCTGCTCTAGCAAACCCCACCAGCTTTGCTAATAGGTTTTATTACTTCAGCTAATAGAAGACAGTGACTCTGATGCTAAACATCGATTCTTCTGTCAATTCACAGGAAGAAATTCATGGTGTGCTTTTTTTACAAGGTGTCTTTCATACATTTGACAGAAGACTTGCTGAAAGTTTCCTGCTTTCCTTTTCTAGTATCTAGTATTTAGTGCTGAAAGTGATTAACTTTGGGATGATCATTCAGCCAGATTTATTTAGGCAGAATTACCTGGCATATACTATTGTATGCCAGTAGAATTGCCAATTATGTGCGGTTGTAGCTTCACTTCATGAAAATGACTCCTTAAACCAAGAAGTCTTTCACACCTAACAAAATAAGGCTAGTTTAAGACTGTTCAGTGGTCATTTTTATTTCATAGAATCATAGAATCATAGAATCATAGGGTTGGAAAGAGCCTTAAGATCATCTAGTTCCAACCCCCCTGCCATGGGCAGGGACATCTCACACTGTCTCCCTTCTGATAAGCAGAAGCCTTGCCTTTGTTCCCTGACTTTTTGCTTAAGAAGAATGCAAGAATTTTTATCTGATGTTGGGCTGTATCTGACTCAGCTGAGCTTTAGGAAGTAGCTGCTGTCAAGACTTTGTACTTAGGTTCCTAGTTATATGCATGACTAAGGCTTGTGGATGTATTTTATCATATTTTACATGTTTGTTTATATCTTCATTGCACAGATAAAAGACACTACTAGTTCTGAAAAGTATTTATTTATGTGAAAGGTACAAACAGTAGAGGCTTGTGTTCTTTTTTTGACCCCAGTGCTTGCTGTAGTAATCTACAGGTGTGCAATTCTACTATAGATACGAAGTATGCAATTAAGTGAAGTAAAAATGCAGTTCAAAGCTTTGCTTAATCTAACACTTTTTCTTCTAAAGTGCAATGTACTTACTGGGTTTTGTGTTCATATTCATGCTGATTTTTCCCGAAGTTGAGCATATATTGTCTGCTACTTAGTTTACTTAAATTTGCCTGATGGCAGTCTTCAGTTTCTACTTTGTCAGTCTGCAGTTGCTACTTTGCAACCTGGAAAAAAGGGTAAAAATATGGTAAGGAAGAAAGCACACAAAGTATTTGACATTCTTAGAAGAGCTGAGTGTCTGGATAAGGAAGTGTCATTAAGTTGATTCTATAACTACATTCAGTGGCAGCCTTTGAGGCAGCATGAACAACTGTAGCAACCAACATCTTTTTGAAGAGTCATAAGAAAGATGTCGCTTGCATTTAATAGTTTTAACTTGGCAGCTAAATAGCTAAGATGGAAGCCTAGCACACAAACAGAGCTTCTAATTTTATGTAGTGCTGTAACATAAGTATATACTGATAGTGGTATTTTTTCATACAAATTAAATGGCTAGAGTGTGTGACTTCAGTTTCACTCTGACTTCAGTGTTCTTCTGGAGCAAATAATAACGTAATCTGTGCTTCCAGGTGTGCCGGGGGCTGGCCAAGCAGACTGAACTGAATGACTTCTTGCTTGATGTATCAAAGTAAGTGTGATTTGCACTATAATCTCATCAGTTTACTTGATGAGATTTTCTAACATGGCTTTTCAAATATACCTGTGTTTTATACTGTAGCTCACAAGCAGGTGTGAAGGCACATGTTGGAAGGTGTGGGTGGCAGTGGTACATACTTGTTAAACTTTTTTTTTGGTGGTGGTGCATCTGATTATATCTTAGAGAATTTGTTTTTCCTTGTGGTGTTTTAGAATCATAGAATAGTTAGGGTTGGAAAGCACCTTAAGATCATCCAGTTCCAACCCCCCTGCCATGGGCAGGGGCACCTCACACTAAACCATGCCACCCAAGGCTTTGTCCAACCTGGCCTTGAACACCGTCAGGAATGGAACATTCGCAGCCTCCCAGGGCAAACGATTCCCGTGCCTCACCACCCTCACAGTAGATAATTTCTTCCTTATATCCAATCTAAACTTCCCCTGTTTAAGTTTTAACCCACTACTCCTTGTCCTATCACTACAGTCCCTAATAAAGAGTCCATCCCCAGCATCCCTATAGGCCCCCTTCAGATACTGGAAGGCTGCTATGAGGTCTCCACGCAGCCTTCTCTTCTCCAGGCTGAACAGCCCCAACTTTCTCAGCTGATCTTCATATGGGAGGTGCTCCAGTCCCCTGATCATCCTCGGGGCCCTCCTCTGGACTTGTTCCAACAGTTCCATGTCCTTTTTATGTTGAGGACACCACAACTGCACACAATACTCCAAGTGAGGTCTCCTGAGAGCAGAATAAAGGGGCAGGATCACCTCCTTCGACCTGCTGGTCACGCTCCTTTTGATGCAGCCCAGGATACAGCTGACTTTCTGGGCTGCAAGTGCACACTGAAGCCGTCTCGTGTTCACTTTCTCATCGACCAACACCCCAAGTCCTTCTTCACAGGGCTGCTCTGAATCTCCTCTCTGCCCAACCTGTAGCTGTGTCTGGGATTGCTCCGACCCAAGTGTAGGACCTTGCACTTAGCATGGTTAAACTTCATGAGGTTGGCATCAGCCCACCTCACAAGTGTGCCAAGGTTCCTCTTGGTGGCATTCCTTCCCTCCAGCGTATCAACCGAACCACACAGCTTGGTGTCATCGGTAAACTTGCTGAGGATGCACTCAATCCCACTGTCCATGTCACCAACAAAGATGTTAAACAAGACCGGTCCCAACACCGATCGCTGATGGACACTACTCATTACTGGTCTCCAGCTGACACTGAGCCATTGACCACAACTCTTTGCATGCGGCCATTCAGCCAGTTCTCTATCCATGGGGGGGTCCACCTATCAAATTGATGTCTCTGCAATTTAGAAACAAGGATGTCGTGTGGGGCGGTGTAAAATGCTTTGCACAAGTCCAGGTAGATGACGTCAACTGCTCTACCCCTGTCCATCAGTTCCGTAGCAACATCATAGAAGGCCACCAAATTGGTCAGGCAGGATTTCCCCTTAGTGAAGCCATGCTGGCTGTCACCAAGCACCTTGTTGTTTTTCATGTGCCTTAGCATGCCTTCCAGGAGAATCTGCTCCAAGATTTTGCCAGGCACAGAGGTGAGACTGACTGGTCTGTAATTGCCTGGGTCATCCATTTTCCCCTTCTTGAAAATGGGGGTTATATTTCCCTTTTTCCAGTTGTCCGGAACTTCACCTGACTGCCATGATTTTTCAGATATGATGGCCAGCGGCTTAGCAACTTCATTCACCAGCTCCGTCAGGACCCCCGGATGGATTTCATCATGTCGCATGGACTTTTGTATTTTCAGATTCTTAAGATGATCTCGATCCAGATCCTCTCCTACAGTGGGCCCAAGGTCTTCATTTTCCCAGTCCCTGTGTCTGCCTTCCAAGACTTGGGTGGTGTGGTCAGAGCCCTTACCAGTTAAGACCGAGGCAAAGAAATCATTAAGAACCTCAGCCTTCTCCAAATCCTGTGTAGCTAATTCTCCCGATAGCTTCCAGAGAGGGCCTACGTTGTCCCTAGTCTGTCTTTTATTCGCTACGTACCTATAGAATCCCTTCCTGTTATCCTTAGCATCCCTAGCTAAGTTTAATTCTAACTGGGCCTTAGTTTTCCTAACCTGGTCCCAAGCTTCCTGGACAAAATCCCTGTATTCTTCCCAGGCTGCCTGTCCTTGCTTCCACCTTTTATAAGCCTCTTTTTTCCTTCAAAGTTTCCTCAGCAGCTCCTTATCCATCCAAGGAGGTCTCCTGGCCCTCCTGCTGCACTTCCTTCTAGTTGGGATGCAACACTTCTGAGCTTGTAGCAGATGATCCTTGCATGTCAACCAACAGTCTTGGGCCCCCGTGATCTCTAGGACTATATCCCATGGAACCTTACTAAGCAGGTTCCTGAAGAGGCCAAAGTCTGCTCTCTTGAAGTCCAGGGCAGTGAGCTTGCTGCACGCTCTTCTCACTGTCTGAGGATCTTGAATTCGACCATCTCTTGATCTCCATGGGTTTTTGCCTGTGTTTCCCCTCTTCTGTCAGAGTTAAAGATACCCCTCTTTTGAGAAGTGAGAAATAGGATTGCCATCTCTTTTGATGGTGAATTTTAGGAGGCTTGAAAGGACTTTATGAAAAGTTAATAGCCTGCTTCAGCTTCCTCCCCCTTTTTGTGACATGTAGGTATACACACACATTCATAAATATACACACTTCAGGAATATATCTGAAAAATCAGGGCTGCCTGATTCTTCACAGTTGTTCTTTCCCTGCATTTTTAGATGCTCTGCTTTCATTTTCAAAGACTGTAAGTGCATGCACTATGTTTTCTTTCAATTTCTTGTCACAATAAATGCAAGATTAAATTGGAAACACAAAAAAAAGCACAAAAGCTTGGGCTTAGACTTGCAAAGCCAGTTTAGTGTCTTAGATGATCTGCTCTTCTTTCATCTCTTTTTCTTTGTTGCTGCTATTAGCATCTTTAAATAGTAGAGATAGTCAGTAAATTAAAAGACAACCCAGAGTTGTACTTTTGGTAAGTCACAGACTAGGGTGTTTAACAGCATTTTATCTAGCTAGTTGCTTGAAGAATTTCTAAGTGCATCACAGAGGACTGATGATACTGTGGAAAAATTAGATGTCTTGAATTTTTGCTGTTACAAACACTTCTGTGGGTCATGATGAACAATTCTTGAGATTATGAGATTAGAAGACATCCAAGATTCCTATGCCATTGCTCAGGAATGCAGGCAGCCTGACCCTGCTGGAATGGGGAGTGATACGCCACAGGGAGGAGTCTACCCCTTGCAAGGACAGCAAGCTGGTTGCATCCAGATGTTTTTCCTAGCTTTTTTCCTCAGGGATGGCTTTTGTTTTTATTTCAGCTTCAATTTGGAGTGTCTCTTAAAGGACACTCTCAACATTCCCTTCCCAGAGCTACCCTCTTGCTGCAGTGTCTTGCACCATTATGATCCTTTCCAGGGTGCTCTTGTGTTGCTAATATCTGTACTGAGCTGGTTTACCAGAGAACTGTGGATTAGTCTGCCCAGATTTATGGACTTTCAATTTACTCTTGGTATGTAGTACCAAGATTGTTTTAACGACCTTTGTAATTATTTTAGTTATTCAAGATAAGAAACCGCAATAAATACTGAAATATTTAATAAGAAAATATTTTGCATAAGGTATTATCAATTCTAGAATTATTTTGTTTTAACAAAAAAGAAACCCAATGTTTTGAGCACCAAAATTGGGATATCATTTAGTAACAACTTTACGAACTTCTTGTAGGTAAAGTCTTGCATTAACGAGAAAATTATTCTCTTAGAAATGGTCTGTTCTTTTTCTTACATGGAAAGAGACTTTCCTTTTCAGTAAGGAAATTGTTAGCATGCAGTGTCACTGGGGCTTGTTCTGTAACATTTTAGAAAGGGCATAGTATGCAGTGCTCCACCTCTTCATGTCCCTGACAGTGTAAGACTAGCATATATTTCCTTTCCACTAGACCCAAACAGAAGTGAGCTGCATATATGTTCAAGGCCATGAGACAATATCTTTCTGTCTGCAGGGAACATTGTAATCCGAGGGCTATTAAGACTTGGCATTTGAAAGGTTTAGACTTCTTTTACTAATAAGTTTGACCTTTCCCTTTCAATGTTCTTGACTGTCCTTGGACAGTTACCGCTTTGCTGTGAAACTGAAATACCTTATTCTTTTTTTTTTTTTTTTCCCCAAGTTACAAGATCACTTTTTTTATGCAACTTCGACATGCTACACCTGGCTTGGCAGAGAAGACTCAATAAGAGCTTTCTAAGTTGTTGTCTTTTAATTTGTGTTAAGAATTGTATAATAGGATGTAAATTTAGCTACAATCCATAGCTTCCATTAGTTCTTGGTACATAGTCCTCTATATGTGAACCTAATGAGATCTTTTGAAAGCATGCAGATAATACAATAAGCAATGAAAGAAATGTTTTCTTTAAATCTTTTGGATTGCTTTCCCTTTCCTTTTTACTTGTCCTTTTAGAATTGCCAGTGTGTAAAGGGTGCCAAAGCATTTTAACACATTGTTAGTGTTGCTCAGCCGGGGCCTATTTAATCAATGGCAGGCAGTTTGCTAGTTTTTTCTACAGACAGAATTCCACATATTATGGAGAATATGCTACAGTTCTGTCATTGTACAATAATGACCTAAAGAAACAGAGCTAGAACCTTTTCTCAATTCCATTGTGCTATAGCAAGCCAGTCAGTGATTTTCAAGTTGCAAAAGTTTGTCCTCACGTATTTGTGCTCCACTGTTAAGTGGTTGTGACACCAAAGCCCACAACAGCCATTTGAGAAGTGTTTGCCTAAATGCCAATATTTACTAACTCCTCTTTCTCTGCAGAACATATTTTGATAATATAGTTGCAATAGATTCTCTACTTGAACATATAATGGTAAGTTGTCTTTTTCACTTCTAAGTTTATTAGTCTTAGTTATTAAAGTCCTTCATTCTCCTTCCCTTCAAGTAATACATTGCATCGTTTAAATATATGAACTGTTTATGATGGACATGTAACACAAACCATATTAACATCTCTATATGGAAGAATGTGGCAGAGTTCAGCTTGATATTTAATTGATTTCACAGCTTTCATAACTAAAACATGACTGTCTCTGAACTAAATAGTTACTATTGTATTTTAGAGAAGGTTTGAAAATTGTAACAAAAAAGCTTCTGTTTTTATTCCAGCTTGTTGTATTGATTCCTTTTTCCTAAATTCAGTTTGCTACATGCTACAAAACACTCCTGAAGAAGTTACAGTCTGTAGGAAAGGCTAGAGGTCAGGCATTACTCCTGGAGTGTTTGTACCAGTTGCTGAATGAGATATGCAAGACATGATATTCTTTTTACTTTGCAAAGGTGGCTGCACCCATAACTAGAGTGACAGAGTCATTCAGTATTTTATAAAAAATACCCCAGTAAACCCAAGTCTGTTGAAATAACTGATCTATGAATTAAAGTACAATTCAGAAATAGATTATGTTTCTGAAAAGGTTCAGAGTTGTTTCCTGGATAGTACTTACATATGGACTGGTTGCTTGTAGTATGTTTTGATTGTTTGATACATGAGTTATAGCATGTTTTGATTGTTTGATACATGAGTTATGCTTTTTAGTTTTAGGAACATTCATTGCATAGTTATTGTTTTTCATTAATGTAAATCTTCATCAGCTCTGTGATACCATTGTTCCAGTTTGTGTCTTAAAAAATTACTCTCCAGCAGTACTCCAATGTGTGCTTCAATCTTCAAAGTGATATTCTTAGCCAGACTATTCAAAAACAACAAACTTAGAATGCAAACAATATTGAAGTGGTTTTATTTAGAAACTTGAATTAGTAATGGAAAATATTCTGCAGTGTTTGTCTTATTCTAGTTAGTACACAGTCAAGAATTCTGCACACAGGACACATTTCTGAACATTGACTTTTCCAATTTAAATGAACTGCTTAAAATAGCTTAACATTTAAAAGAACCGGTATAACATAACATATGGCATTGAGAACAAATATTGATACTCTTCCCTATTCTTTCACTATGAATAGGGGTCTGGTGGAAAACACAGTTGGCAATAAAAATATGCTTACTCTTCATCTTCTTTCAATGTTTCTGCATTTTAACCTGTATAGATGTTTTATACTCCGCTTCCTTTGTAAGTTGTAGCAGTTGGCTCTTTCTTGGGCCAATGAATTGAATTACGTTTGCACCTTATTGCCATTTTATGGGAGTGTGATTTTATCATTACATGGCTTATCCTATGTCTCACAGTAAGAAAAGAGGAGAATCCAATTTTATCTCACTACTTCACTCTTTAGTGATTGCACTTAAAATTTTATTTGTTCCTGTAATAATAAGTATGGGGATTTTAGCATTCTTTTTAATTTTCATTAAAATCTCTTACCACAGATCCACTTCAGATCATGCTCTACCATGCAGTTCCTATACTTTCTGAGCAGATAAGATACATAAGAGACATCTGAATTGGATAAGGCAGGTTCTTGAACCTAACTGGTATCCTAAGTTAACACAATGATCCGTGTTCAGCTTCGGTTCACTCTTTCCCCTTCTCAGTTGATTGTATGTTGAAACATTTCAGTGAAGAGCTGCTGTGTTCTTGAGATGAGATTCTGTTCTGATAACCAGTGGTGGCTGCCAGTTGGTTTTGCTAAGATGAAACTACTTGTTTCAAAGCATGAAAGATACTGTGCAAGTCTGTTGCTGTATTGTGGGACTTCCTTAACTATGGGTGGTACCTTAATGGGCTTTGGTTAGTTCATGTAGTTCAAATTTCAGCTTTTGTGAAAGAACTGGCACTGGCATTAAGAGGGCACAGCCATTTCCTGTTCTGCTGCATAGAATAGGGCCGTCCACAAAGGCACTTCTAATCTTTCCTATTTGTTCGTTGTTATGTATTACAGGCAAATTTAGCTTTTTTAGAAACAAACACTAGCCACTACCTTATGTCTGTCTTTGCTGGGTATTCAATACCAAAAAGCCAAAATATTCTTAGATCTTTCTGTATCCTATCTATTTAAATCTAATAAAGATAAATAATATCTAAACATAGAGGGAGGGATGCTTTTTCTTTTTTTTCCTTTTAGCAAATATTCAAGCCTCTAAAGATATTCCTGCAATTCTTAGAGAGGAACACTCTAATTTACAAAAAAAATACTGAATACAAGAGACACTTTCATTTGGAACTGTGTCCTAGAAGATTGCTCTGCAGGTGGATGCTCCTTCAGATTTTCATACTGGATAATTTCTCCAAGCTTGTGACTACTGAGGAATTACATTTTTATCAGATAGATGACTGAAGATAATCTAACTCATGGCCATTAACTCTAGCTTTCTTTTTTATCTATAGATATATGCAAAAAACCTGGTGAATGCAGATAGGTGTGCACTCTTCCAGGTTGACCACAAAAATAAGGAGCTGTATTCAGACCTTTTTGATATTGGAGAAGAAAATGATGGGAAACCTGTCTTCAAGAAGACCAAAGAAATAAGGTAAGAGTAGCTGGCAGAAGAATGCAGTTTCATTGTAACTACAGATGTGCAGGCATTTTATTACCCAGTCTCTGTGCCTATCTGCAGGTACCCTGACAATACTTGTCATACTGTGATATCATTCCCACCAGGACCCGCCTCCAGAAGGTAGTACTTCTGGGAATGACATTGCAGTGCCATCGAAACAACGTCTCTGAAGCTATAACGTCACTCCTGGAAATGCCGTCTTCCGGAGGCGGTCCTTTTGGAAATCATGTTGGGAAAAAAACAGAGGTGTTCTGAGGTAGGTAAAGGTGCAGGTAAAGGTGCACCTAATCCATAGTCTGCCAGTATGGGACTTTTTTTCCCAAGAGGAATTGAAATTTGTGCAATTCAAGCACATCCAAAGCAAGGAAGTCACAATTTATGCTTCTTACGGATGGATTAGGCACATGTAGACTTTAGTGTGGACGGGTCATTAGTTTTGAAGATTTCACGTCCAGTAATCTAGTTGTACTTCTTCTCATGTGAATTCTTTTTCAAATATTTAATTAATTGTGATTCTGATGTATGCTTGAAATGGTGGATTTGAAAATGTGTATGGGCTTGAAATGAGCACACAGCATTCTCTGCCTAAAACTGATGTGTATTTCTCCTTCATGTTGCAAGTACATCATTTTCACACACATGCACTTTTTAAATGAAAAACGCAAAGCAAAGTAAATATAACATTTTTTGCTTTTCAAAAATTATGAATCCTTAATAGATACAGGTTGACACACGCACCTTCTTAAACAGCAAGAGATTTATGACTAAATATCCTGCACTAAAATTTTGTTAAAATACTCAGCACAGATTTTCTCAGATTTTTTTGTTATTTTCTTATACATTTAAAGTTCTAGGCCTGTATGAGATGTAATTCCTGTCTTCACTTAGACTCCTTTGGGCAAACTTACTCCCACTTACTACATTGTGTGAGTGAGAATGGAAAGGAGTCAAAATTGGTGCAATTTACATACTGACAAGTAAGGAGGTGGTGTGAATTAAAGAAGGTGACCTGATTTAACATGCACTTCATAATCCTCCTTGATAATTATTTTATTTTGCTTATATCTGTCTTTTCTGTGTGAACATTATTGAAATGTTAACTCTGAGTGCGAAGGTGTGAGCCATATACTGGTGCTGTATACTGAAGTACAACTTAAGTATCTGTAAGAAAATGACTCTGAGGCAGTCAGTCATCAGCCTTAAATTGGTGCCATGTAGAAGCCAGCAGAAGAAATAAACTTAAAATCAGATGTGCAGGTGAAATCCTCTCTGCTTTATCGGTAGCTTCAGTGGGGTCAGGATACTGTCTGGGTACATTTAGATTTAAAAGTGTTACATGTGTGATTCTTTGTACCTATTTTTCTCTACAGATTCTTTTGTGCTTGTGTGTCATAACTGTTTTATGTCAAAGAATTGAAAATTATTTCCTCACAAGACAGACTTGTAGACTTTTCTGATTCAACTCCAGAATATGTTGTGTTTAACTTTCTTGGGACAATTAAGGGGTGCAGTTAGTACCATGGCATTGTTTGCATGTCATGAGATGAAACAAGCTAGTAGGTGGGAAACACATGTAATATTTAGCTTTGAAGCTTCTGCTGGTCTTTTCCCAAAGTTTATTTTACCAAATCAACCTGCCCACCCCCTAAGGAAATAAGCTCATATTGCCAATGATCTGTCTAAAGAAACAACGAATATGTAAAAGCAATGAGGAAATTAGTAGCTTGTAAAGGTAAACACAAATCTCAGGTTACATACAACTGTCGTTTGTTAGGCATAACAGGGTGCTTGAAGACTTGGAATTTTTGTCACTAAAATGGTCATATTATGGCATCTTTTGTATTAAACTGTGTAGCTATATAAAATGTTTTCAGAAAGTATCTGTTAGTATGTGCTTTTTTATTTTATCATTTACTACTAGCTGTTGTCTTGTAAGGTTTTTCTCCTGAAAGCATCAAAATGACGCTGGTTGGGAACAAATACCCATTACCGTGCCCAAGACAGACGTTTTTCCAGGTAGCTCATATTGTGGCTAATGCACATTTTCATTTTCTGCAGATTTTCTATAGAAAAAGGAATTGCTGGTCAAGTGGCAAGAACTGGAGAAGTCCTTAACATCCCTGATGCCTATGCAGATCCACGCTTTAACAGGTAGGACATTATTCATGGGAGGGGAAGACAGCTCACCCCACTGTTTACTTAAAGTTACTACTTGAAATTTATTATTAGGATGCATTCATGGAGCTGCGATCTTCTGAAGAGCAGACAGCCTATGAATATCTATTGAAATGTTTTAGCCATCAAAGATATTTTAAAGATACAAATAAAAAGAATTATTTTTATTAAATCTAAATCTAATGGAATAAAATTTAGTTATTTTTCCTATTACAGATTTTTGCTCAGCTAGGTAGACTGTTGCTGATTTTCTTCATTAGCCTACCTGCAACCTGATTAGTTTCAGGGGAAAGAGAAAAAAAGTTTATTAACAAATAGCATGCCTAAGTACGTGAATATATTCTTTAATTTTATGAGTGAGGAAGCATTAATTCTTTATCTTGAAAATGGAAATTAATGGATTAAAAAGTTCTTTCTAAATATGACACATTAGACGGAAATATTTGAGAACTTCGGAGGTGAACTTGTTGCAGGTACTAATTGCATCTACTTCAAAAGCTATTTAGTATGTTGTACATCAACACTTGTGAGAATCGAGGAACTGATATTAATTAATAATATGAACTCTTTTTTTTCTTTCTGTCTCTCCAGAGAAGTAGACCTCTACACAGGCTACACAACCAGAAATATCCTGTGCATGCCTATTGTAAGCCGAGGAAGTGTAATAGGTGTTGTGCAGATGGTGAACAAAATAAGTGGAAGTGCCTTCTCTAAAACTGATGAGAACAACTTTAAAATGTTTGCAGTCTTTTGTGCTTTAGCCTTACACTGTGCTAATGTAAGTTTTATTTACAGTTTTTTAAGCTATTGGTTATAATGGGAAGACTTAGAACCCTGTTTAAGGATTTTGGTGTTCCAGATTATTAAAATAATTTTAAAGTCTGTTTTGTTGAATTAACGAAGAAACAAAAATCATTGAATTATTTGATGAGTAACTGTAGTTTTAAAGGATTATAGAGATTTGTTTGATACTTTCTGGAATATTTGTACTCTGAATACATCAATTTCCTGTAAACTGAGAGAGCAAGCTATGAAATGTGAATTATACCCATCTGTCATCTCTTTTCCATTAGAAAGTATGATTCTTATTTCCTTTTATAAATTCAGATAATATATTTTACAAATTTCACGGGGGGATGGAGATGTTATGTATTCTCTCGATTCCATGTGCTTACTATTCAAAGATATCAATTTAATACACTGTGCTGCATATTCATAATTATCCATGCTTCTAGATAAGTGTGGATAGCTACTTTTGTTTTCAAACCCTTTATTGTCACAAATATTACTATTCCCGTAGGTAGCATAAGTAATTTAATGATCATTAATATATATAAGTATAAAAATGCAATAAACGCAATAAAAATGCTATGCAGAAGAAATGTGTCATATTCATGGGCGGTAAGATACAATGCAATACCAGTTAAGTCTGGTGATTTACATTAAACCATTTTACCAACATCGTGCTGTCATTATACTGGGGCAGCAAAGTTTACTAGCAATTATTTAAACTTGTTCCAGATGACTCAATGTGGGTAGAAAGGCCTGCATATAAATGACTCTTGGGACTATAAAATCTCTCACTTGTGTGTAAGTTCACTCCTTTTAGATGGTGAATATTACCACTCAGGGCATAGTGCTCTAGAGGATTGTATTTACTAGTAAAGCTGTTGTATCCTCACTTGTTTACGAACTATGCAATTCCTTCAGTAGCTGTCTGAACCTCTTGATCTTAAGTCTTCTTATTTTTTTGCAGTTATTGCACAGTAATGTAAGTATGATAAACATCTCATGAACTTTTTACTGTGCATAGGTAGCAGTTATTTATACCATTAGGCAGCTGAATTCATGCAGTGGCATGTTACCGGTTACCTGTTATCAGCTTTCTTTCTGTTAGCATATTGCAGGGGTCTGAGCTCCGGTTCCAATTCCTGCACTTTGATTCTTTTTCTTCGGGGAGCTCAGCGACAGTAAAAAAAATCACCTGAGTCCTAGACATTTACCTGAGTGAGTAGGTGAAGAACTTTTAATAGAAGGCCCAGTTTTCCAGTAGTACTCAATTTCATATAATCTGTCACTTTTTCTAAAATGTAAAATTGGACAGCTAGAAGCACTAGCATTTCTGCAGATGTGTGTTTCAAGAGCAAGTACTTTAATACAGGAAAGAATCTTTTTCCTTTATTAAAATTTGACATTAATGAACAACTCCCCTTTTCAGATGTACCACAGAATTCGCCATTCAGAGTGTATTTATCGTGTAACGATGGAGAAGCTATCCTACCACAGTGTTTGTACAGCAGAAGAGTGGCAAAACCTCATGCAATGTACACTGCCCCCACATATTTGTAAAGAAATTGAACTGTAAGTATCTTCCTCATATAGCGACAGCTGAGTCTTTTATCAGTCTGTAAAAGATTTTTTCTTTCTTTCCCTTAGTGTTTATAAAACCCCTCCTTACTGGAGGGTTTTTATAGGATGAACTTATTATTGAACTATTTAAAAGTATTTGGTGCTTATCTGTAGCTTTCTTAATGACCCGTGAAGAAAATTTATCTGTCAAAGATGCAGAATAATGCATACTCAGAATGCTAGGTTTTTCTCAGGCATAGGTAGTTACAGTAGTTGCTTTAAGCATTAGATTATATCGAAGGATTGTAGAGATGAGCTTTCTTTCTGATAGTCCTAAACATCTGAGAGCCAGAGAGGAGGCTGAGATGGAACATTAGTAGTTATGAGCAAATGGATGATCTCATCCTTTTGTATGCATCTTAGAATAAAAATTCAGCTCCTTCCTGGGATTTTCGGGGTTGTGTGTTTTGGGCTTTACTTTGTTTTGGGGGTGGGTGAGTTTGGGTTGTGTTTTTTTGTTTACTTGCTTGGTTTTTTTGGTGTATGTGTCTGTTGTGCATCTGCTTGTGTTTCTTGAAGGATCGGAGAATGTATACAGATCTCCAAACTTCTGAGAATAATTCAGGTGCTAGAGTTTAGAGTTGTGGCCTGAATTTGGAGGAGGACTTCCCATCCAGCCCCTGAGGCTTCTCTGAAATAATTCAGTTACTTCCAGCTCTTAAGGTTTTGCTGTGTGCTGAAGATGTAGTTCTATCTGTATTTTGTCAGTTCTCACTCAACCCTAATGCAGGGTATTTAGTCAGTGTTTCTGGCCTAGGACAATATGTAGTGACCAGGTACCTAAAATCAGAACTCTCTGATACTGAGTCACAAAATCTAAGCTGCCTATGTAAACCTAATCTCCAGAGCTAGGTCACTCCTGTGAGGCACTGAGCACTGTAGCTGTGAGCGAGCAAAGGATGAAAGCATATACTAACAGGGACTGCTTGCAGTTAAAGTTCATTACATGCTGAAGTGATTTGCTAGAGCACCAGAGTATTAGCAGCTTGCACAATTATACCCTAATAGAAGCTTATTCTATGCAATACAATTTCTTGTTCTTTGTTAGATGATATTATGTAACCCACCTAATCCAAAAAAAGGACTTTTACTTGCAAAGATGACAGGTTTCATTCTAAATTGTATTAGCATCCTTTAGTTCAAGCAATCTGAATACGTTTTACCATTTTACAGTCAATTTAGCTACCTTCAGCTCTTCTTGCACCTGCTGTACTCTTCAGTTGCCATGTACATGCAAGCGTTTAGCTGGGTTCAATGGAAAGTAAATAGAGGACTTTCAGCACAGCAGGTGCAGAGAAAGGGGTTAATTAATAATCAAAGGACAAACAGTTCTGCTGAGTTGGTCCCTAATATTAGGCCTAAATGTTGATAGCAGGAGAGGGAAGAAGTCCTCAGCTAATGAAGCATATCAAATACAGTATTAAATGTTTGATTTTTGAGGTTTGGGCTTAATTTGTGTTAGGTACTGAAAGCTGATTTTTTTACCTCTACCAAAATTAGAGCGACTCTTGCCAAATTTGTGATAGAAATTATTTAAAAAAACCACCCTACTAAATATATTATTGGAGACCCCATCTTTACAATTCTGGGGAGGAAAGTCTGGAATCTTTTAGGAATGCCTGTAAAGCTCTCATAATTGTGAAATAAAGATATTTGTACATTACTTAAGCAATGGATTCTTAAATAAAGATCTGTGTTTCTATTCATTAAAGCCAAAGGCTAACTATAGGCTAACAGTTGGACTTGGTAATCTTAAGGGTCTTTTCCAATCTAAATGATTCAGTGATTCTATGAGGATAGTTCCATTGACCTTAGTGGAAATATATTAACAAACATAGTTAATATATTTAATATATTAGTTAATATAGCTTCTTATTGCTGGAAAATGAATCCTGTAAAGTCAGTTTTCTGTATATGTTCAGAAACAAGTGAATGCTGTTGGATATACATTACCTGATCCTTTTCACTTGCTTTTAGTTAGAGTGAAAAAGTGTTTGTCCTTACTTTCTTCCTAGATACCACTTTGATATCAGTCCATATGAGGACGTCTGGCCTGCCATTTTTGTCTACATGGTTCACCAGTCCTGTGGGACAGCCTGGTATGAAGTACATGTTTTATTGCTTTAATTCTGATATTTATGTGTTTGTTTGCTAGGAAATTTTGAGATCATTATTTTCTAATTCAAGGTCTTATTTTCTTTGGAGTTTATTTACAACGGCTGGTCTGTACAGGACAGTAATAAGCAAGCTGCATTTCTTATCCCAGCTTCTGGGTCTTCCATTTATGAAATCTGGGAACAGCCAGGTAAAAGAACTCATGGTATCATCCAGAGATTGGTCCTTCCAATGTATAGAGGTATTGGTTGGTTCTGAGGTGAGGTTGTTGCTCAGAAGATGGTGAAGATACTGAAGTCACTCTTGCCAAAAAGGAGAGGTCCACGAATACTTATTTTTCAAATACATAGTTGCTGAAATTAATGGTTGAAATATTCCACGGTTAGACCTTCTCTCAGTAGATTAATCAGTTATTGGCATCATTAGGCACTGATTATGGAAATGGATGATTTTTCATTGTCCTTACAGTGTCCATTATCATTATTAAGGTCAGTAGTCTATTGGCTAAGTATGTCCCATTACTGAGAGAAAGGAGCTGCTCCGAATCATGGAAAAAAAATCTACAGATAGGCCATTGAAAGGGGAAATACCTCCCTGCAAAAAGAAGCAGCATTTAGGAAGCATTTGCAGGTGACTGTGGATCTTAGTAACTGGATGAATGTCCGTGCTTTCAAAGCATAGTCATACCTGAGGGTCTTTCTGATGTCTTCTTCAATACTGCAGGATACTTCTAAATACACTTCTCTGCCGTTCAGTGTAGTTAGCCCGTTTCTATTCCTAACCGAATGTCTGTGGATGCAGGATGAGGGTTCAGATTTCCAGCTAAGTTATGTTCTTTTCCCTGTCTCCCAGTAATTTTCTTTCAAGGTGTGACTTTGGTGGGAATATTTGCTTGACATTTTTCAAGTGAGCTTAAGTTTTTACAGGTAAAGTTAAACAAAAGCGAGGAAAATATTTGAAAAGGAGACTGATGAGGCTGAACTTATATTTAATTTCTGAAAGAAGAAAACTTCTCAATCCCCTGAAACAAATACAGCTATTTTAAGACTAAAATTTGCTTTTTAATGTATTGAGGGGCAAGGTTGTGCTTTTAAGCATCTGTGCAATGTATAACTGTACTGTCCACATAGGATTTTGGAGAGAAATCAAAGATAATCCCTACATTTTCTTTGCTTTCATGAAGAAATACTCTTTTACTGCTTTAATCAAACATAGAAAATACAGCAGTGGAGGAAGTAATAGTATTGTAAGTTGGTGTATCACTGACACCTCATAGTAACTATAGAGCAGTTATTGGGTATAGACAGAAGTGACTGTTGTGATATTCTGAATTATGGTGTACTGTTTTAAACTAGTTCTAACAGTTGATCTAGAACTGTCTGTTTTAACTCTCTAGAATTGAAAAAGAAAGCCTAAACTTTTTTGAAAGGCTGCGCCTCCATTTTCACTAATGTCAGACCAAGGGTAAGAAGAATGATTACCTTCCTCAGCACAGAGCTATAGAAATATGTTTTTTTGCTCTCTAACTGGCTTCATATAGTAGATGTATTTACATTTTTATATATAGGTCAGTGACATTCAGCTTTGTTTTCTCAGCCCACATGTACTACAAAACTAGAACATTAATGTCACTTCCCTGAGTAATCCAAGAAATTATCAAAACATAGAACTTAAAAAAAAATAATTAAAAAGTCACACCACAGTAGTGGGATAAAAATGAGAGTAAAGAAAAGGTAATGTGTTTATGAGAGAATAAGTCAGTGACTTAAGACTGGCACCTTCAGTTCAGTTCTGGGCTGAAGTGTAATAACTCCTTTTCACCCTGGGCTCCTCAGATTGGGCACTTTAGAGAATTTTACCTGATATTTAATCTGTGCCCGAATTTCCCATCTGTAAACAAAAAGTATTTAGCTTTCATTTCAAAGGAACATAAGTAGATAAAGTCTGTTAGAGATTGTGCAGAACTCTGGTACTATGGACTATGAACTGTCTCAGGTGTTTTTGATGAGCACATAAGCCAAACATAACAATTAATTTATTACTGTTTTTTATTATTCCTTAGTGAAAAGTTCTCTTGATCATGGATTAATTTTGCTTTTCTATATTAATAGCAAAAATATATATGAAAAATCTTTAAGAAATAATCTCAGAAATGCTATAGATTTGGGGCATTTTTATGATTGACTGGCGATTACTTAATGAAATACTGTTTGGTGAAAAATGAAGAAACAGTAAAATGTGAATTTCTGTTCATTTGGCCAAACCGAAAAAAAAAAATCTTCATCCTGGGAAAAGGAAAATCTTCTTTTCATTATGTCAGTATGCAGCATCTCAACATCTTTCATTCAAAACAAGTTATATGATTCCATGATTTGACTGAAATTTTAATTTAAACAGGACTATTTCTTCTGTATTGCTTGCTTAAGATCTCAAATTTTCTGTTTTGTTCACAGATGCTATTTTAAATTGTCCATTAGGTAGGGTTTCGCTATTTGCCAGGTTGAATAGATAACTGCTTAAAGAAACTGTACTTCAAGTTTCTGGGAGCAGCTAGGGTTATACAGTGGTGTTGCCTGAGCTGGGTAATATGTTATGTTCCATAACTTTTCATGTTAAACTAAGAGTGTTGTCTGGTATGCACACTCCTCTGTCCTTGCCAAAACTTGAATGACTCTTGTAATCAATGAGTCATCCACAATGAGAGTCAATCCTAGCAAGAAGAGTAAATGAAAGAGCTTCTTTTCTCCTCTCTTGGTTATATTTCCCATTGTTATTCTTGTCTCTGAATGAATTAATTTCTTTCTAGCTTTGAACTTGAAAAACTGTGCCGATTTACTATGTCTGTAAAGAAGAATTATCGCCGTGTGCCCTACCACAACTGGAAACACGCAGTTACTGTTGCACATTGCATGTACGCCATACTTCAGAACAACCAGGGACTTTTCACTGATCTAGAGGTAGGTGAAATGACTGTATCAGTTACTAAACCTCATCAGAGGTATTGGACATCAAAGAAGTACATTTTCTATGCTAGCGTTTTGTTGTCAGCTTAGGCAGAGTGTACTAAACATCCCTGCAGAGGAACAGGTGTGAGTAGAAAGAGTGAGGAAGACAAATTGCTCAGTTTCCTAATCCTGGTGTTTCCTTCATGCTTTTCAGGTCTGTCCACTGAAGACTTAGAATAATTACATTCTAATATACACTATGAAGCACTGTCACTTGCTTTTTTGTTTGTTTTAGTTATGGTAGGTGCAATTGGGAATGGTGTCTATTATTGATACTACCTAAAACTTCTGACTGGGAGAACCTGTTTTCAGTTGTGTACAACTTTGCCAAATACTAGCTATTTGGACTGTAATTTTCCAAGCTGTGTAACTTCCTCAAGCTGGTTCATATCTATTATTCAAAGTTTGAAAAGCCAGTATTCCTTTAACAACAAAAATCTGAGGATTGCAGCCTCAGGGCTCTGATAACAGTCAGTACTAATTAAGTAGTAATCACCATCTTTTTGGAGATGCAAAATAAGCAAGGCAAGGAGAGCAAAAGAGGCAGCTTTTAAGAGAGATGGAAACAGTTGTCATTCCTTGCTAAACTGCCAGTCTTTATTCGTTTGAATGCCTTATCCAGTCTATGCTTCAGCTCTTTCTAGCAGTCTCCTTTCCTGAGACTGGAGAGTAATCCAACAATAAATCAGGGAACTGCTGAAGGAAAGTTCAGAGAACTAGGAGGAGCTGGTCTCAGGTGAGGGATGATGGCATGAGCCTCCATAGGCTTAGAGATGGGAAGAAAAGAATGTAACACTGTTAAGGGGACTGGTTTAGAGGCAAGTGGATCCAGCAGCTGGCAGTGGTCGAAGAGTTCAGATCCAAGCACCGACAATAGGTACAAAGTCAAGAGCACTGGTAATAGGCATTTTGTAATCCTGAAGAACTGAGACAAGAATGACTTCCTGGGAAGTGGAGGCTGGGACAAGCTAGACAGAGAGAACCATCTGGTGCAATGATAAAAATGGTAAGACTGGAAAAAACAAGAGTTGCAAAGGATTCAACAGGAGGATTAAACCTGTGGGAGAGGACAAAAAAAAGCTTAAATACCCACTAGATCTAACATGTAGCACAAAGGATTCTGAAACTCTTATTTATTTTGCTGTCAGAGACCGCCTTTCTAGTCTGTTGATTCCATGACTTGCTCCTTCTCATTGTAGTGAAAAGGGGATACCAGCTTCCTACAGCTAGTACTGCATCATTTCAAGTAATACAGGTGTGTTATGTGCCTAAGGGTTCCACTTCTGCTGAGGATCTGTATGGATATGTGCTGCTGCATCTTTTTTTTATTATTTTTTTTTGTTACGTGCTTTTTAAAAATGCACTACACAAGATGCAATATTGAGAAGATGTCAGTAAAAATTGAAGTGAAGGATTCAAAATAAAAATCAAGGTCTCAAAACCAGAAATACCCTTAGTTCTGCACGTTGTATATTTGCAATAAAATCTTAAGTTACATTGTTTGCTGTTTTTCTGCAGAATCATGTGCCTCTTAGTACACAGGTTGGATGTTGCTTACTTTATAGGTAGTTAATTGATGTTCTTTTTCTGCTTCATTTTATAGCCTTATCTGTGTCACCAGGTCCAACTATGAGACAGAGCTGTTAAGTTTTTTGAAGACATTTTCATAATACACCACGCTGACAGTGACTGCTTCACAAACATTAATGAGTGTGTTTTCAAAACACACCTGCTATGTGAAAACCTATTGCAAGTGTTCACATATTTTGTGTGTTTAAAGAGACACTTCAGGGACTCCATTTCTACAGGATTTTAGGACTTAATTAAGTAAATTAAAAAAAAAAATTGGTTGCCATCTTACTTTTTTTGCAGTTGCCACTGCCCAGCAGTTCTGTGGCTCACATTAGTGACTTCCTAGGAAAAGTTGCACGTAGGAGACTTGCTCATATTCTTCGGGGTGTGTTGCAGAGACACATCTAGCATTGGACTTTGGTGTGGCTGCCTTGAGCAGATGATCATACATCTTATGTATTTCCTCTCCCTCAATAACTGCACTTTAATTTTCTTTTAATAAAGTTGGTATGACCAGAAGTTCTGTTTTAAACTCAGATTTCTCCTTGAAGCAGAATCCCTCTGATAGCATGTGGCTGTGCAGCAGTGTTTTTAAAGTTCATAATATATGAAAGATTTGAATTACAGATGGACCAAGAATTTTAATTCAGCATGTCCTCACTTTGTGCTTCTCACAATTTTAAGGAAGTTTCTCCATGTGCTTCTTGAAGACATGAAGTGTAAGGAGTGCAACTTTTACAGTATTTTGGGAAGAGAGTGACATCTAGGGGCAGGAAATATATCTTACTTGTTCATCTCAAATTTTTTTTGTAGCGAAAAGGTCTTTTAGTTGCATGCCTGTGTCATGACCTGGATCACAGAGGTTACAGCAACAGCTATCTTCAGAAATTTGATCACCCCTTAGCTGCTCTGTATTCCACGTCAACAATGGAACAGCACCACTTCTCACAGACTGTGTCCATCCTGCAGGTAGGATTATTGAAATCATATCTTCTGTGCAGTAGAGTCCAGTGGTGGAAATAGAAGTCACATCACTACCCAGCAGATTTTTTGAAGCATGCTTATTTTAATGTCTGGATTGTGGTGCTCGTTTAGAAGAGTGGAAGATTTATTACAGCAAGTCAGGTTCCACAATTAGTAACCCAAGCATTTAATAGTGCAAAACATAGCTTTCCCAAAATCTTGATGTTATAAAAATAATCAATAGGTATTTGAAGGTATTTTTCTATGGCCTTCCTTTGGAGCTTTTAGCTTCTGGGTCAGTGGGGTTTTTTTCCTATGATCGTATGGAATAGGAACTTTGAAAATGAAAAATCAGAGTTCTCACTTATTTAGATATTTGCAGCACTTAAGTGCTTCAACAAAATCTTCAACCATCTTGAAATTCTGAATGAAAGCTCAAGTACTGGCAAAAGTTTGCGTGAGAAGCTTCAAAACTGCTGTAATAAATTCCATGAACATTAAATGTGTGGCATGAAGGAGAGACTGTTAATTTTGTACGCATGAAAAATCTAAACTTTTTTCATTATGTTATCATCTGTTTTTTTGTTACTAAGCAGTTCAGCTGAATAAGGTAATATTGTATGAAAGAGAGTTCCTAATACAAGGTAATGTGTCTGTATGTTTAATGAATAGAAAGCTACAAGAAAGAATGCAGGCACATCTTGGAAAATCCAAGTGTGCTACTGACACAGATACTTTCTCATCAGTGAAAATTGTTTTCATGCTCCATTAGAAGAGTGAGGACTCTCACCTATGAAACCACTGCCACTCCATAACATACTTGTGCTCACTGGTCTTAGTTTACCATGCACATACTCAGTGCACAGCCTTACCATGCTACTGTGCCACTAATTTGTTGTTAACTTTTCTTTCTTTCTGGTCTTTCAGGGGGAAGATATTTATTTACTTAAGTACCTAATCATCTTTTAGGAAAAATACATATTCTGTATTGTATTCAGAAGCACATCTTGTGATTATGGTTTTAGGTATCATGTACATTTTTCATCACAGAATGGAAGCTTTATCTCTGTATGCTTCTTCATGTAGGAGGGTGTAATTGAATCCTTCAGTGGTGGTATGGCATTAGATTTTTCGTATTCATTCTTCATGTGAGTTTGTGCACAGTGAGCAAGTTCCTCAGTCATTAACACTTCCCTGGCCCACTATGCCTTCATGAAGCAGACTTCAGTCATTTTTCAAAAACCATTCTGCATTTTTCCTAGAGAAATCTTATAACCAGTGAAAGTCCCATTTGCCAAGACAGCAGGGAACCCTTTTGCTTCCCCACTATCTCTAGACTCGGCCATCAGTGTGAGTGAAGAAAGAGATACAGGTGGTCAGGGCTGTAAAGTGGATTCACACACTGACTACCCAAGTGGTCTGTTACGGTGGCTAGTAACCTGCAGTAGTTTTCACTGTTTGAAACCTTATAGCTGCTTTGCTCATTCACCTGCTGTTCTAGTGTACACCATACTTACAAATACAGAAGATTCTATTCAGTAGCTTTAGCTCAGCAGGGAAAGAATAAAATCTTAGCAGCTGTACTTTGTATGTACTACTCAAAGCCTAAGTGATGTGCTCAGAAATGTCAGCTTCTGTCAGTACTTAACAAAATCAGTTCTAGGAGAATGAACAAAAGCTGTCACAGTGATCTTTTTAATAGTACAGCTTCTAAAGCCTAAATAATTGAATCCAGAATAATTCTTTAAATATTGGGGAAAATAACCTGTTCTTGTGCTATGCAGCATAGTTGAAAAGGAAAATCTTCTCAGAACCTTAAATAATGAAAGCTAGTAGTAATTTCCTGCTCTCAAAGCATTGATGATGGGTTAAAATTTTATGAATTTGTTTCTTAAACATCGTGTACTATGCCTTCAGAGTGTGTCAAAGGAGCATTGAGACATAGAGGGATTATATTTTCTATTTGTTATTCACAATAAATCTACTTGTCCAAGTAAAAATGTTGGAAAATGACATTTATGTTCCGGTTGGTGAGAGAAACCAAAACTATTTGTACCATAGAGGGTTTATTTTGAACAAATTATGTAAATGCTTCACAAAGTCAGGGAAACTTTTTTATGAGCTTCAGCCCAAATGCCAATTAAATGTCAAAACACATCTGCATTTGGTATATTCTAATAATATTTTCTATTTGTGAATGTGCACACCTTAATATGGCTGGCTCATTCTTTCCTGTTTTTCTCTGTTTCCTCTCAACAATAGGAATACTTTTGACAGATTGCTTGCCAAATCCTAGAGACAGTGAATAGTGTTGACTTTTCAAAATGTGATACAGCTTCATGAGTGATCACAGTACATGGATATTGTCAGTGAAATGCACAAAAATACATACTGGAAATGGAAAAGGGATGACAGTGGCATGTTGCAAGAGTAGTGGAAACCATTGTCTTTAGTTTATGAGTCAGTCAACTCATGGTTGAACAAAGCAGCTTTTTCCCCTAAATGTTCGTATACATTAAAATACTGTAATTAACTTCATTTCTATAGAGAAAATTGTATCAGTAAATGCAGCAATTTCAGGCACACTTCATTTGGAACACGATGAAAACAAAATTATTTTGGTACTGTAAATTGGATATTTCCTCATCCATATTATGCGTTATGCAGTATTGAAATTGTACTTCAGAGTGAATCAGACGCTCAGCTTGGCAGTGCAGCAGTACTCTGGATCAGGATTGAATCACAAGTTCCCAAACTAATAGGAGTGCTGTGCCTGTAGTGCTTATAAATCAGAGAAGAAAATGCTAGCATTTTGCTCTGTTAATACCTTTAGGCTTCAGAAGGTCAGTCCAAAACCCAATCAGTGGCTTAGTCATAAGTTCCATAACATCATTTAAAAGTGAAAGATAAAGAAGGGAATTTCAGGCTGTCAGCATTTGAATTTACAACAGACATTGTCATTGGGCTGTAAAATCATTGTAACCTGTCTCATGAAGTAAAGACTGAAATCATCTCAGAATTAGAGCTTGTGCTTTTTATTGTTTTTTTACTTTTTCATAGCTGGAAGGGCACAATGTCTTCTCCAATCTGAGCTCCAGTGAATATGAGCAAGTACTTGAGATCATCAGGAAAGCCATCATTGCCACAGACCTTGCCCTATATTTTGGAAATAGAAAACAGCTTGAAGAGCTGCATCAGACGGGAGCATTAAACCTTAAGAACCAAGCACACAGGTAAAGCAGCAAACCAGTATTACATCACTATGGCATTAGAAAGAAAAAACAAAACAAAACAAACATTTCTGTGTACACAGCAGTTTTCTTACATATCACAACTGTGTGTAAAATTTCCCAGTACATAACAGCATTTTCTATATTTGCATATCACTGCCTTTGGCTATCATCCACACAGTTCAGTGTCAGATTTTCTGCAGAGGAAAGTTAGTGCACAGACAGTTGGGTAGTGGGGAAAAACATATAGTGCAGTAATGCTTAACTTTATTTTTATGTTAATATTTTTGTTACTCTGTCAGCACGCTTTTTTGGAAAGAATTCTGCTCAGATCTCAACCTTTGTGAGTTAAGATACCTCTAAGTTTTAAAAATGTACAAGTGCATATTCATAAATACACGACTCTCTGTCCACATAAGCAAAATATAGTGCACACTGGACAAGAGATGTGTCTCATAACAGACTTCATTAAAGTGCTCATGCACCCCTTCAGAGCTGCTTTCTTCTGGAAAGTGGATCCTGTCATTAATCTAATGCAGAGGAAAATTAAGCAAAATAATGAGTCATGATTTTGATTTCTTTTCAAAAGGAACTTGGGTACTTGGGTCTTCTTTCAGAAGAGTTCTACAGGATTTTGCCAATAGTTTTGAGTTAATTATTACAAGACTGTTGGAAGGAGAATTTTTAAATGCTTATTTCCCAGTATAGAACTGAAGCTTATCAGAATTGAATAAAACTCAAGATTTTTAAAAGATGAAGATATAGCAGCTCCTGATAATGAAATGTACCAGAAATTTTAAATTTCGGGTTCATAAAATTCAAATAGCATGACAACTAATTAGTATGTGATTGAATATTCTGTTAGGTTTACATATTTATTTTTTTTTAATCTTACCTGTCCTCAGAGCATTTTCATGGCATAGCCAACATGCTCAGAGGACATCAGTTGGTAAGGTGGCTAAAGAACCCAAGACGTCTAGTTGGTACCTGTACATGCAATGGAATGCTAAATTTCAACATTATGTGGCTGATCAATTCTCTTTCTTAACTTAGGGGAATAATAGCACTTTGACATTTATCTATCAATTATTCTGATTATAATCCTACTGATAATGTTCACAGTTATTCTGTGGACAGATTTGTTGGTGTACAGGATGGAGTTATGTATAGAATTCTTGTTCTGTCAGGGTTGGAATTCATTCCAACAAAACAATGACAGAGTACCTTGAGATAAGCTCAGAAGCAGTTTTTCCTCTTGTTTGGACCATGTGTTCCTTTCTCTGTAAGCAACGAAGAAATGCAGCAGTAGGAAATGCCATCCTTCTTTTTATAGACTTGTACTGTATTTTCAGAAAATTAAGGAGGGGCATGTGAGTGTTTTAACAGACAGACATTCTTGTGTACTTTTCTGTGAATGTGACTGTGCAGATGATGGTCAATGAACTCAGGTTGCACACAGTGCAGATACAGCAGGGAACATAAAACGCAGTTTATGTGATGCCTTATCAATGAATCATTAGCAAGTGAGGAAGAAACAAGCAAGGTGAGAGAAATTTTTCAGTATGTATACTTTAATGCCGATTGAACTTAGGAAGGGCAAACAAAAGCTTTGCAGTGTGATCATTAATTCTTTACCAAACTTACCATTTAATCTTATTTTATTTTAGAGATAGAGTGATTGGTCTGATGATGACGGCTTGTGATCTGTGTTCTGTAACAAAGTTATGGCCAGTTACCAGGCTGACAGCCAATGATATATATGCGGAGTTCTGGGCTGAGGTATGTGTTTCTTTTGTTTACTCTCTTTATAAATGGATGCATCCAAGAAGAAAAAAACAACCATAAGTATTTTCCAATCAATATCTTAGTATGCTTGTTTTAAAGAGTGTTCAGTGGTGCATGCATGTGTTTTGTTGTTTCCTCTGAAACTATTTAAAGAGCTGAGTTAGGTTCATAATTTTAGACAGCATTTTTTCTCTCCATTAAAGATGGATTTAGAAAGTCCTAACATAAAGTGACCAAGCAACAGAATGCAGAATAAAATCTTTAAGATTTTTTGAGTCACCTGTAATTTTGTAAAGGATCTCTTTGTATTCTAGAAATACAAAATATGACACCAGCTTCCAGGTCAGCTGCCTTGAAACATCTGTAAAGGTGTTATGAGGCCGGGAAATGCTAAAGCAAATATGAGAAACTTTAAAATTGTTCTGACCATTTGAATTTTCTTTGTGAGCCAGCTCAACAACTGGTTTCAGGGAGAGCTTATTTTTTAGTATACTGAAAGTTACTCCTCAGATAAGATATACTGAGAATTGAAACAAAGCATTGAGATGTGCTAATGTAATCATGTTCATAAATAAAGATGCAGTGTCTCATGTGTCTTACACTGAGGAGTAAATGTTCTAATTGTTTAAATTTTGAAGTAGAAATGACTACTTTGGGGAAGAGGAATGCGTTGTGAGGGTGTGGCATAGATTTCAATTACGCAGTTTTGAAAGATATGCTGTATTTTTAGAATTTCTATTGCACATGTGTATGATGAAATGTTCTTTTCTGTGATGTGCCCTGTGGAAGTCTGCAGAGTTCAGTGGGCTTATTCTGTTTTGCACAGATGTAAAATGGAAATCAGACCCACAGAGTTGATGCAGCATGCGTATAGCATGGAAGTTGTTGTCATCCTTGTTGCATGTTCATTATGAAATTCAAGGTGTGCATGGCTTGTGGATTTTTTTTTGTGAATATTCAGATGTTCTCATTAACTTAATTTTGAACATCTCGGACAACAATAAAATATTTGAAAAATGCAGACTGTATAAGCTCAAAGATCTAATTTCAGTACTTACTTTCTAAAATGTCAGCACTGGAAAGTGGGTGTTCTTATGGGTGATAAAATGGAGGTATAATGTTGATGTGCCCCACTGATTACATACTCAACTTGTTTGCTTACAAATAAAAAAGTCCTTTTAATGAGAATTTTGTGAACTCAGTGGAGAAGGAATGATCCAACTGATTTTTCCTAATCAACAATTGGAAAGGTGGAATTATGGGTATAATTGAGCCTGCTTTACTTTAACCTGTTTTGTAATCCAAGGATGAGTTAGTAAAAGTGGATATTGTTATGTTGCTGCTTCATGGAGCACATGTAAATTAGAAGTTATTGACAGAAATTGAATTGTTCAGTTAGTGTCTTACTGAATCCTGTTTAAGAAGGGGTTGATTGACACATGGTAGAAGTTTAATACATTGTGATCCACTCAGAATGTCTGACAAATCCTGCCACAGGTCTAAATACTTCTGGAAATTGGAAAGCTGGAGACAGATACAGAGAAAACCCTGGGAAGGCTAAACCAAAAGGAATTTTAGATTGTGTTTCATTGTAGAGGCTGGGAAAAAAGGTAAACCCTAGAAAAGTATACTTGACCAGATTAAATGGTTAGTTCTAAAAGTAAGATAGAAAGTTGCTTCTAGTTACTACTTGAGTTTGTAATCTTAATATCAGAGTGGGTTTATATTTCATTTTTGTGTAATCATTAACTAAAACAATAACTGCAGAAGAGGTTGCATCAATTTTTTGGTATGCCACACTGATCTTTTTTCATTGATCAAAGCCCAGTATAGCTAGGGTTTCCAGCTAAGATCTGCCTTGATATCACTCAGCATGAAGCTTTCCCACAGTACTGCAACTCAAGCAAAATATTACATTTGCTGGTCTATTATATAGGATTACAAACTTGCATAAGATTTAACTGCTGCGATTTGGTTTTTTTGGTGAGATATGAGACACTAGGCAGTCGTTAAATGGTACTTTTTTAAGAGCCTTACTAAGCCACTGGAACCGTACTGCAAGTATGGTGCAAACTGCTTAAAACTTCAACTTTCTGATCATGATCATAACTGTGGGGATAAAGCAGTATATTTTATAACCATGTGTCACAGAGGTGTTCATGGATATTGAGCATGAGAAAACACTTGTGTTTCTAGTGCATGTGTTCCATCTAAATGTAATACTTTTCTACTGTGAGGGTGGTTGACCAGTGGCAGATTGCCCAGAGAGGTTGTGGAGTCTCCATCACTGGAGATGCTTAAAACCTGACTGAACACAGCCCTGGATCACCTGCTTTAGCTGATCCTGCTGGGATAGGTGTGTGGAATGGATTGGATGATCTCAAGAGGTCCCTTCCAGCCAAAACCATTCTGTGATACCTTTTAATTTCAAGGTGAAATGGTGAACATAAATCTGAGCTTTGTTCAGTTTTGGCATAATCAGTCAGAGGCTGAACAGCTTTCTCAAAGCTCTCTCAAGTGCTTCTCAGGCATAAACAAACTTAAAATCATACAATGCTAAATGGTTTAGTGTTGAGCTTCTTATCATTGAAACAGTGGTATCTGTAGACAGTCTTGGACCCGTCAACTGCAGTACTTCAAGCAAATGGAAAAAAAAATATTTGCTGGGGGCACATAAAACCAAAATTTTGTTTACAGTTCCTAAATAACAATCTGCTGTGTTTCTGTGCTTGGAATTGTTTCAGGCATCTTTTTATCAGCTGAGGAATGAGGTCTTTCCTGTTGTTCCTTTCAACAGTAAAATGTGTGACAGACTAGACTCAATGATTCTAGCCTCTCTAACTAGGGGAAAGAAATCTTTTGTTGGTTAATTGAGCAGGATCATAGTTATAGGCGATGTTGAGGCAAGTATACAAGAGTGAATTGACTTCCAAAAGCCTCCTTTTTTTCTACACTCAAGGTAGCTGCAAGACAGGCAAACAGAAAAACACTTTTCTCAGACCAGAATCAATTTATTCTATTGCAAACTTGTCTTCAAGTAAAGGGGCCAGAATCCTCCCTTGGAAGGGCATGTTGGCACTTGAAATGTGGTCTAATAAGAATCTTATGAGAAAGATGTAATAAGTTGTCTTCTGGAGATGCCTTCACTAACTGTAGCAGAAACATAGAACATGGAATTAGGGAACGTCCCAAGCTTTCAGATAGCTAAACCTTTGTAAGCTGAATCTCACATTAGAGGACAAAAATAAGCAAATACTGTATATGCAGTTATCCTGTATAAACTTTCTCCCTAACTAAGCTTCCCCCACCCCACTATCAAAACCTCTCCACGCAACCCCAGTACGTAAGGTCAGCAGTTTGAAGTTCACATTGACTTTGAAATCTCAGGCATGAGCAGTATGGAAAAGCAACCATTGCTATGACTATAGCTGCCTTGATAACCTCAAGATTAAACATCTGTGTTGTTTTGACTATGCCATTGAGGCATAAGACTTGGAAAACTTCAAATTGTGACAGAAAGTAGCTAGCTACTTACAGATTTTTAAGAAGTAATTGTGTGCAGATCCAGTGTAGCATTCAGAAATATGTTGTAGCTGCTCTGCTGGTAATGGGTGAAACGTAAGGAGACACCTTTCTCCTGGTCATTACATGTATCTGGTCTTTGAATATGCTCTGTCTTTCCCATTATTCCTCTTATAAATGTAGAGGGATAATGTACTTAAAGAAAAGAAGGTTGTTTGATAGCAGCTTCTTCAAAGCAGCATGGTCAGAAAGGATGGATTGTTGAGAGAGCAGGCACATTTTAAATTTGATTTACTCAGCTTTTCCTTGGATGGGTAAGTTGTGTTCTGCTGTGTTCTAATGCTTTCAACAAGTGATGCTTTGAAAGATGAGACTAGCTATGAATAGAACAGAATAGAATATAATTAACTGATTTGTTTTATTTTATTCTTTCAGTTGCTTTTTATTATGGAGACACTCTTGGAAACAAGGAAAATATATGTACATTGGCTCAAACCCTTCATTTTCAGAATCTGCTAATTACATTATCGTTTAGGTGAATGTATAAAATGAGCCCCTCCTTAGGCAGTTTTCTGACATTGTCTTAGACTGGTGCCACACATTATTTTAAATTCTGGATTTTTAGAGTTTCATACAACAGACAATGGAAATCAGTTGCGATCTCAGTAGTCTTGACTTTCGTTGTGCTAATCTCTCTCTCTGCTTTTCTCCAGGGTGATGAAATGAAGAAAACGGGTATTCAACCTATTCCTATGATGGACAGAGACAAAAAGGATGAAGTCCCTCAGGGTCAGGTATGAACTCTTTCTGTAAAATGATACATTTGTAGTGTTAATAAAACATGTATAGAAAAAACATTTTATGTACTAGTGAATATTGCATTTGCTGTTAGGTTATGTGGGCTGTTGAATTCTGTGTCCTGCGAGCCCAACAGGGTTAAAATTTTATGTAGCAGTGGAAAGCTTGTTTTCAAATGTTTACATAAATGACAGTATGTTCTTTGCTGCTCTCACTTGTTCCATTCTTTGTGCTTCTAACTCTAGCTAAAATCACAATCACCTATGATTTTGAGAAGTGTCAGTAACACTTTCTCAACTTAGTAAGTGCTTGCTTCAGCCCTTAGGCTAAGAGGTTTTTCTATTTTATCCCGAATGCAAAATGAACTTTGTCACCTGTTCCTGATTAAAATATTCAGGTTCATATTTCAAAAGAATAATGTGGAGAGTTTCTTGAGGATAAGCAATAAGGAGTGTATTACTAAGAGCCTCAGTTGTCTGTTTTTCAAAATCTTTGGGTACTGATGCTCCTGTGCACAAGTGTGCAGAAATCACAGGATCAGCTAGGTTGCAAAAGACCTTCAAGATCATCAAGTCCAACTTTTACCCCAGCATGACTGCTTTTTTTATGTTTTCCCTAAGGAAGATGGTATTCTGTAAACATTAATTTGAGGGTCTTAATTTTCTGGGGTAAACGGAAAAGGTAGCTTGTCCTTTGATTATCTGAGCAGAGAAAAATAAATTTAATTTGTGCATGGTGCATTCATATCCATATATATGTATAAGGTTGTGTTGTTGTTTTTTTTTATTTCAGAGGCCTCTGGTGCTTTGTCAGTAGTCAGCGCTCACAAAGCAGTAATATTTAAAATACAAATTGCAAAGTGTCACAAAATCACTGTATATTAATTGCACGATAAGTTATTCCATAACAAGACTATAGAAATTTTTGTATTCTGAAACTTAATTTTATGCATTCTACCATATTTTAGCATAAAAACTGTTAACTTTATTATAGTAAGGAATTTGCAGTTTATGTACTAAATTTGTGTAAATTTTTCTCCATTTGGTTTATCTTTTTCACACATTATGTTGGTTATAATTGAATATCTTGAAAAGTACAAAATACTATAGTGTATAGTATTCTTGGCATTTGTAAAGGAACTGTTAATGGGGCAAAAGTACAGATCTAAGACAGAAGCAATTTTTTTTTCCTCTTTAAAACACAATAACTGTTTTTCCAAGTACTGTCTTCATCACAGTCTATTTTAATTTGTGCTCTGTTTATGATTCTTAATAGTATAACAGTAAAATATTAATGAAAATAGGATGCTAAAAGCCAACTTCAGTAGTATAGTTGTAGCTACTGTATCTTAAAACAGCATTACAGGAAAATGTGAGGTTTAGGACATATATAGGCAGCCATTCCTTTGTTTATGTAGAGACTGAATAATTTAATAAAGCATTATCATCCATTTACTTGGGCTCTAACAAAAGGAATTAATGAGTATTTTTATGAAACAGTTAATTTCAGAAGGAAGAGAGATTTTCCTCATTCCTCTTGCTTAATACATCTTTAGGTTAAACATACACTGCCTTTCCTGCAGTGACTTCAATAGTCTGCTCATACCTGAGTGAACTCTAGGCCTTCTGTCTAGCCACATCAAGATGAAATAATTTATTCAGATAATCCAAACCTTTTACAAAAGTCATCTGTGTGAGTTTGCTCTGGTCAAATATGGAGACTTTTGCTAAGGAATGTTTTTTAATTAGCTTGGCTTTACCCAGAACCTAAATCCATTGAGATTTTTGGGGGGTTTCCTCCTTCACTGATGTCCATTTGAACTTAAAAGCTTTCAGGACCTTAGAAGAAACATTTTATTCTAAATACTGGGATTCCAGAGAGAATGTGGTTTGAAATACATTGCAGATTAAGTTAGGTTTAAATAAAAGAAAACAAAACAGACAAGAAAAAAACACATAGAAAACAATGCACTATGTGGAATAGCAAACTTTGTCGATGAGCAGACATCATAGCTGTGTGCAGCCTTGCCTTCTCACCAGCTGCAGTTTCTTTCTATTGGCTGCATCATAATTACTTCAACTCAGGCTGTTGGGTTCTTAGGTCAGAAATTGTATCTTCTTTTTTTGAAGTATAAAATAAACTTGGTTACATAACAGTATGGGAGGAACCTCTGTATTCAGGGTGGTGAGGACAAGAGTTGTTCTTCAATTTCTGAATAAGAGACTTATTATCAATTGCTCTGTCACAGTACTCTACATGGTATTTCACTAAAAAGCATTTAAAAACTCTTGGCCAAAGAAAGGGATCATACTGCACTACTTTAACTGTCATAAGACTCTGGCATAAGTAAGTGATGTTGTAATGGATTTGTATTTAATCTGTCATCTTTGCTAATACTTAAGTAGCATTTTCTAAAAATTCCCTTGTGTCATTACAAATCAGCTGTGACATGGTAGCTGTCATAAGCCCTTAAGCCTGTATGAATCAGATTTAATTAAAAAGGTGCTCATTTGATTTTCCCTAAATAGATTTATATGATAATGGTAAAAATACATCACTGGACCACATACATGAAAAGAAATTGCAAACCAATTATTGATCATAGTTCACACCATTTAGAAACTTTCTGAAGGTGGAGAGCCCCTAGAATCTCAAGTAAATTATGCTATCGAATACACACTCTGACTCTGGAAGACATTGAAGTAATCCAGAATCTGACTGTAATCGGGCAATGCTGCATAACTTTTCTTACAAAAAAACCCAAGAAAAATCATCACAAGAATAATGTTGGTGCAAATGGCAGAGCAATTTCTCTATACTTCTTGCCACTATTGACACCAAAAAGCCAGACTGATTCAATTGAATAATAAAAGGTCCCATAGAAAATCTGTTCTGAGCATCCATCTTATTCATAGAATGGTTTGGGTTGGAAGGGACCTTAAAGATCATCTGATTCCAACTCCCGGACATGAGCAGGGATGCCTTCCACTAGACCAGGTTGCTCAAAGCCCTGTCCAGAGTGATTACGTGGACTTGAAATCTTTCCACTCAGCAGAATCTCCCCTGTACTCCACAATCCCATGCCATGCTACAGAACGGGCCAGCTCCAGAGCTCATTGCCTCTTCGAGTATTAGAAGTAATAAAAGAGAGGCATATAAGCAATTTGTAATTGCCAGAGACTTCCCTATTAATGTTTTGTTTTAAAATATTTGGATATTTGGATACAAAAGTATGAAGTACTAACAGAATTAGTAATTAAATGAGTAGTCAACAACTTTGAGCTAGCTGGCTATTAATTTTCAGTGTTGTACTTCATCAACGTTTAACTATTGTTTCCATTGTGTTTTTTGTAGATTGGGTTCTACAATGCAGTAGCTATCCCATGTTACACTACACTTGCACAGATCTTTCCTCCAACTGGGCCACTGCTGCGAGCATGCAGGTGAGTAAATGTGCAAGTTTTTGCATAGTGTATAGCTCGGATAAATGAAAAGCAAACATATTTTGCAAGTTTGACTGAAAATACAGACTTAAAATTTTATAATTTGCATGCAGATAACAGGGATATGCATCTTGCATTAAGTGTGTAGAAACTCAGAGGCAGTTACTACTGACTGGGATTATCCAGTACAGATCTATAGACACAAGTGATTAAAATGTGTTTGATGCTGAGAGCATTTAGAGAGAAAGAGGTTCAGTGTTTATGTAACCCTATCTAGGCTGGTTCAGTGCATTTTCCCTCTGTGTCCTTTTTACTTCAGTGTGGTTCTCACAACTAAGATTGGCTAGAATTTTGTTTCATTTAAGAAAATGTGTTTAGGCGTGTTTTCATTTCATGTCTGAACATCTTTAGTAAAAATCAGGAAAAGAAAGAACCCCAGAATATTCAGTAATTAGAACCATAAGAGTAGTACCACTGTGATGAGAGACAGGCATAACTTTGTCCTATCAATCAGTTGGGATGTAGCTTGAGACCTTCTGAGGGGAAAGTATGGGTCCTTAGCCATTTGGCTGCTTCTACCTTGACTGATAGTGGATCTCTTAGTAGGTTGTTCTGTCCAATAATTATGTTTTGTACCTTGGCAATCTTTCCTGACAAAACTTCTGTTGAAACTGGTATGCTTCATGAAAATGTTCCAATTTCAGGTTAAACAGTATTCTCTAAAGAAAAACAGTTGGTTTGTAAAATGCCAGCAATCTTAAGTTACATCCAGGGAAGAGGCCTGTTTGTCTATGCTCTTACCTCTCTTATAATTGTTTTGTTTTGTTTTGTTTTGTTTTGTTTTGTTGGGTTTTTTTTTGTTTTTTTTTGTGGTGCTTAAATTCGAGCTTGCACTGAGCTTTTTCCTTGGCCTGTATGGCAGATCTACCTGCTCTGTCACTTTCCTGATCTTGTGGACTAAGTGATCTGTGTGAAATTACAGAAGGATGCCCACTATATACAAAATTCTGTGAAACTGGCCATAGTGATTAACAAAATAATTTCATTCACGCCCAAACACTGTTTCGCATAGCTGTGAGAAGAATATGTAGGTCTGTTGCAGTGAGCGAGACAGAGGACTGTCTTTTGATAAAAAGTATCTAGGAGCCATCTGTAATAGTCACGTCCCTCTAAGGTCCACTGTGCAGCCCTTAGATAGATATGGAGGGAATATTCAGTAGGATTAGAGGGTATACCTTTGTAGTTATTATATTAATGGGACCACAGCTGGAACCCTGTATAGCATCTATACATTAAGAAGAATAGGGAAGAACACTAGCAAATAAGAGAAGATTAAGAAAGATCTTAAAGAATGTTTTGAGATCACAGTAGTGAGAGACTAAAAAAATTGGACATAATATATTTAGTTTATCCAAGAGAATAACTTTATCAAAATCTGTAACTGTCTTCATAGTATACTTTTTATTAGACAAAGATTATTAATGTAGTTTATTAATTTAGCACATAAGCCCAAAGGTTCAAACAAGGAATATGGCTAATGTCTTTTTTTACAATTTGGAATAATGTCAGTTGAAGACCTTAAAGCAAGGCTAGGCATACTTTTTGAAAGAGAGATGTTAAAAGGATACAGGTGTGAGGAATAGTCACTGTAATAAAATTGCCAACGACTATCTTTTCTAGGCAGTCAGGCTAAATAACCCCTATAGTATTGTCTTTTGTCATTAGAAGCTATGAAAGTAATAATGTTTGGTAAATAATGGTCAGTAATTTGTTACCCTAAACTAAGTAATACGGAAGTATTCATAAGTGTGTTCCATCAGTTACAATATAATATTAAACTCTTCTCTAGTTTCAAAATGCCATGGAGTTTGTCAGCATCCAAACCCTGTTTTCGAATTCAGGCTTACAGTAGAGGGTAGGAAGGTGTACTCTCTATGCCATGTTGACCTCATATACACATGTTGATAGTTTGATTATATAGATAATTGAGTAATGTGTACCTCGACAAATAGAGAAGAGTTGCTTTCAGTGTGCAGAGAGCATGAAGTAAACTACAAAACTGCTTTCAGTGCTTTTTTGGTTTTTTTTCTTTACAAGGTTGTGAGTCATCCAAATTCTTTATTCAGAGGTAGTCCAAGATCTTGGAAGTTTTCTAACTTTTTTCTTTTTTTAATCCTTGCTTGAAGGATACTGCTTTTTGCTTCAGCAGTATTGATGCTGGAAGCTAAAGGGTTGGTTATGCGATCGTGGAACTGAAACACAAATTATGCTTTGTGTAACTGTGTTTTCAATCAGAGTTTTATGCTGTTGTCATGGACTAAACAGCATCAACTATAATACCCACCATTAGAAAATCAGTAATGCTTATCACAAGTTATTTATCTCTACTCAAGCTAATAAGTATTGTGAAACTGCTTTATATATGTGAAAATTTTATTTCTTTTGTATTATGTAATTGTCAACATCCAGGTATACTTTTACTCCCCAAATCAGTATCTGCATGCTTTTAAGATGAAAATTTCTTGCAGAGTCTGTATGATTAATAAGCTTTGTGCTGAATGTCAGGAAAGTTCTGTTACTAGCAATTGGGAGGTCTTTAAAATGGATTTGTATTTACTGTAGAACCATTTGCCTAAGCCCGCCAGTACCTTTGGTCAGATGTTAGAATCATAGAACCATAGAATAGTTAGGGTTGGAAAGGACCTTAAGATCATCAAGTTCCAACCCCCCTGCCATGGGCAGGGACACCTCACTCTAAACCATATCACCCAAGGCTTCGTCCAACCTGGCCTTGAACACTGCCAGGGATGGAGCATTCACAGCTTCCCTGGGCAGCCCATTCCAGTGCCTCACCACCCTAACAGGAAAGAATTTCCTCCTTATATCCAATCTAAACTTACCCTGTTTAAGTTTTAGCCCACTACCCCTTGTCCTGTCACTACAGTTTGTCCTGTCACTACAGTGTTAGCATTGTTATTCTGCTTCATGAGAACTGAGGCTTAGAGTGGCTAGGTTGAGTACTTAAGGCTGAGCAGCATTTTTTCCTAGGAGCCGGGTTCTGGGGAGACCCATATCCTTTGATTTCTAGTCACAAGGATATACAAATGCGGCATATTTGCAAAAGTGTTTTGTTATACTTAATAGTCCATCTTTCAGTTTTCAGCTTAGGAGATTTGAAGTTGAATGGTAGAGTATCAAGCACCCACACACGTATGTGCTCTAGGTGAAAGGTTCTTCATGGTCTTGAAGATAAAGTATGAATATCTTTTCAACAGTAGGTTTCTCTGCAAAAGGTGTGATGTCTGAAATAAAAGCAGTCAAGACTCCTGCCAGAGACTTCATGGCCTTTTTGAGTTTTAGACATGATGTTTGTTGTTTCGTATTCAAATTATAGTTATAGTACTTGTGAAAGGTACACTGGCACAGTCTCCAGACTGGGCACAGCTCTATACAGACACAGCTCCCCACCTTGCTCTTGTGCATTCCATAATTTAGATTGCACTGGGGCATAGATGTGTGGATGTGGTTTAAGATCTCTGTAAGACTAAAGAGCCTGCTGAAAATCCACACCCTTTCATAAAGTCTTCTGAGAAGCAGTTTGATGATTTTAGCCTAGCCTTGGGATTACCCTCTGCTGTCTGAGGGGGTTGAGAATAAAGTGTTAAGAGTTCAGACTTTGAGATGCAGTGTAGGAAATCAAGTACGCAGAACTAACTTCAACACCCCAGTTACTAAAACATATGTTATTGCAAGGTTTAAGTAACTCCAGAGTGTTTCAAATAGTTGATTTTGCACTACACCTTTTTTTTTTCCCTTTATTTTTGATGGGTATCTGTTATTCAGTATGATGAGATGAATACAGCCTCGTTCCCATTTTGTGATGCCTCAGCTGCTGACAGAAGAGATTTGAAATCACCCCTTCACCAGCAGTGCACCTTCTTAGAACACCACATTTAAGCTTCCCTGGAAGTGTTAAAAAAATGTGCAGATGAGGCACCATGAATGACATGGTTTATTGATGGACTTGGTAGCCCTGGGGTAAAGGTTGGGCTTGATGATCTTAAAGGTCTCTTCCAACCTAGTTGATTCTGTGATTCTAAACATCCCCAAGTTTTCTGGAATGTAGACAGCAGCTACAGATAATAGCAGCAAAAGCAGGCAAGGCAGATTTTTATTTTGAGAGCCTCTGGGCATTTACTCCAGATACTAGGAGCCAGGGTTTCAGTGGCAACACAAAGGCAAATGAATCGTATTATCTACGTCTTTAAAACAAACCAACCACAAAACAACGAAAAAGTACCAGTCCCTGATTTCCCTGAGGTAAGGTAGCAGCTAAGAATCGAGAAGGTTTCTCTGTCTATTAATTTATTCCACATTTTTATATACTCTGTCATTCTGTGTAGTTCAAAACTACCAGCCACCTGCGTTACAGTGTTGAGTCCTATGTGTGTTTTGTAGCCCACATACTCAGGTCTGCTAAAGTGGCAAGTCTGTGATAGTATATTTATTTTGGGGGTGACGTGATTGATTTTTTTCACCTTTCTTTCACACCACATAATTTTAAATAATTTTCCATGTGCTTTCAGGTCTCTCAATACTGCCTGAAATTCATATAGTTTTAAAATATTTTGTCTGTAATTCCCCTCATTATTTTCCAGTTTCAGGAACGGGACCTAGAAATAGTACCAGTTCACTGTTTGTGATCCTTAGTGCCTGATTGTATTAGTTGAGATTCAGCCCCATATTAACGCTGGCTTCATGACTACCACTTGCCTGGAGCGCTGGCAGAGCAGGTTTCCATCTGCCTGCAGAAAATCATGTAGGTGTTCCCCTAGAGGGCACCAGCTTTCTTTGGTAGACTCCATCAGATGCTGCTTTTTCCCACCCCCAGAAATGCAACATTTTCTCTTACCTGTTCACTGTGCTTTCAGCTCATTATCCACTGTTTTATCAACTGTTTCAGCAAAGCTGTGACATAAAAATCAGGAGAGCTCTGCCACATAAATTCCTATGAAATACGATAATATGACACATACGATAAGACGACCTTAGTACATTTATCATCCTGTTTGTTTACTGAAGACATCTGAGAACTGTTGTTTTAGTAACTAAGTATCTGATAGTATGAAATCGAAACAGTTGAGCTTGCTCTCTTTCTGTCTGTACTTGAAGACTCAACGCTAAATTCGACCATAGCTTGCAAGTATGGTCTGCTACATAGTCATCAACATAGACTTCCAAATCACTGGAGCGGTACTACTGTACAGCAAGTAAGATTATGGATCTGAAGTCTTCAGGTCATTAGAACATTAACAGTTAATTTTTTCATCATTTTGTGGCTTGTAAACCAAAATTTAGACTTGAGGGCTGGCCAGGCTGTGAGAAACTAAAATTTGTGTCTTGAGGTAAGGCTTCTCTTTAAATGTAACAGATTGACACTCTCATTACTACATTAGTAATTGAAAGTTGATACTATGATATTGGCATGCAATACCTTACACGCTGTCAGGCAGCCCGTGTGCAGGAGTTTTAGAAGGCTTAATGCACTTCTGTGGTTTCCCATGAAGGAAGTTTCCTGGCAAAAGTCCTGATCTCTGGTGGTTTTGAAAAGGGCTGAAGTATGCTGTGGTAAAATCCTAGAAGGCTGCTTGTCTCCAGACTGCTGTTTTAGGGTCTCTGCAGGCACGTCCTTCTTGGGTCACAGCTGGGTTTTCTGTCCAGCCATGGGGGCTAGGAATTTATAATGGAAGCAGGTGCTAGCGTCCGGCTCCAGTGCTTGTTCCAGGGAATGTGTGACGTTGACTTATATGTAGTCAGCATGTGTACAAGCCACACAGAATTGCAGAATGGGATAACTGAAGGTGAGGGATGAAATAATGTAAAGATAGCAAAAGCTTGATGACAAACAGGTACTTGTATACAGCACAAAGCTACATCTCACAGTATAGTACAGCAGACAGTATTGCTAGGAAAAAAAATCCCAGTAAAGCTTTGAACAGTGCTTTACCTCTGACTTTTTTGCATCTCCAGGGACAATCTCAACCAATGGGAGAAAGTAACAAGAGGTGAGGAAGCCTTTATATGGATTCCTTCCCAGTCCCTTCCTCCTGGGACCTCAGATTCACTTCCTGTGAAGATTGATGACTGAACAGCAGCAACAAATAGCTTTAACCTGAAAAACATCCCTTCTTGTTTTGGGGATTGCTTTTTGTTTTGTTTCATTTTTATTTGAAAAAAAAAAACGGAAAAAGAAAAAGGAAAAAGAAAAGCTACAAAAGGTTAACTAAGAGGCAGATCTGCCTAGGAAGGTAACACCCATGGAGTTACCTCAGCTAAATGACTCTGGCAGCCAGTCTCCTCACCTACACCAGTGACACAACATGAACAGAGGGAAAACAACAACCCAGAAGTTTTGGAGTCAGCTATCAAAAGAGAACTTACAACTTGTGAATATAAAAGACTGGCCTTATCTCATGGGCTACCTTGCTGAGGCCTTAATTTAAAACTGATGGGGGGGTGCGGGGTGGGGAAATCTTAGGGGGTACTTCTAAATTGTATCTTTCTAGTAAGGGTTTCAATGGTACTTTTATTATACTGTACTGTGGCTGGCTTTAACACCAGTGTCACTTGGGAGTTCTTGGCTATAAATAGAACAATATACCCATTGCTATTGTGAATGTTTATGTGTGATCTACTTGTAATCAGTTTGAACTCCAGCAGAATCCTTGGAGACTATAATTCATGCTTAGGTTACAGTGAATTCTCTTGCTGCAAACTAAAGGAAAACCAACATTCAGGTTAAAGTTTTAAAGTATTTCATTAAGCATCAAGCATCATGATGCAAATTGTCTGTTACTGACAAGGCAAACATTGAAAGAACTGGTGATGGTGCTTTGTTCTTCCGAATGATTTGTAAACCTAAACAGCTCCTTTCTTAAAACACTGGAAGTATTGGATATGAGAGTTTCAAGGTGGAGGTTTTGTATCCGTAGTGACAGAAGCATCAGATTAAAATTTAAATGTGACAGCAAAGATTTCCTTGCCTAGCTCACAATTAAGTAGTCATCATCTTTATTTCTACCTGCTGAGTTGTATTTGAAAAGGTATTAGAGACATACCTGAAGTATGCTATCTGCTGGGAGCAAAAGCCTTGTCAGAAAAATCAGGTCTGATAAGAGAGGTGTGGTACCATCACAATAAATCAAAAAATGTTTGCGTATTGACTAGCTTTTGTGTTGCACAGTAACACTGTATGTCTTCTACTGCTCTATTCCCCCATCCGGAGATGAGTGAAATTAAGAAACATCTCCATTTGTCTGTTTGCTTTTTCCCCCTAGTTCAGCAAAATTTCCAGGATTAGAATTGCCTTTCTTAGAGGAAGAATAGCTGACTGAAGAAAAGTAAAATAGTGTGTTTACAGTTCTGTGCTGACAGGTAGGCTTCAGCCTTACAAACTTCTGCACAGGCTTTAAGACCTTACATTTAATGCCACTCTTTTCAATTTAGTGCAATTGTACAGAGTATGTTTCAACAACACTTAATATGCCTTCATCTTTTTCTTAAAAATAAGGAGAAAAAAAAAATCTTTGTATTAATCCACATGGTAGGTGACAAACACAGTCTTTGTAAACCTTTCACATACAGCCTATACTATATGCTTTTTTTCACAGAAAATACACTCTTGTTGTGGCTTCATGAGAACATGGCCATTTGTGTAACTCCAACAGATAGTAGTGATTTTAAAGACAGAACATAGATTCTGTTTTCCATCTTGTGTTTGTTGAGCTGTTTTGCTCTAAGCATGCCATCTTATGGGTTTCATGTAAATGACTTGGATTCTTGAGTTTTGCCTTCTGTTATGGTCGAGCACATACCAGTATCTGTACATGTGTGCAGTATGTGATAGATAATCTCATCATGTATTAAGTGCACTGGAGCCTTTGCATAGATACTCTAGAGGTTAAGAATTTAATATGAAGTTATTTTAGTTATATGATACACATTATTCAGCAGCAGCCCCATAATTTTTTTTCCAGATTGCTTTACCAATTCTGAGTGCAAGAAATTTGTTATTGACCACAGCAAACTATTTTGGGGAAAAAAAACCAAAACCAAAATATTAAAAAATGGCAGGAAGCAATTGGACCAAAGTAGAATGAAAAGTATCTCATGCTGTGTCCTCTGTTTTACTCCTTAGCAGTTCTGGTTTAGCTAAATCATGCAGATGAAACCTTTCATCTGCTAAGTACTCCAGACACAGTCACAGTTCCTAATTTACATGGAATTTATCTATACCTGTGGTGACTACAGAAATACTCTCCGGAATTCAGAGACCCCCAACAACTGAATGGAATCTTTTTTCCTTCATGGGTTAAGTATATTTGCTGTTGTTCTCCCTCTTTGAATGCTGATCGTACAAGCATTGCAAAAATATTCCTTATCGCTCTGTGTTGGTGTGTATGGAAAGCTTTTAATCCATCTTTTACTCATTGATAGTAAAGATAACTTCACTAGCTCTGTTACCATTCAAAGTATTTGTCAGTATCACATAATATTTTATGTGTTGTCAAATTGGCAATAAGTTATTCTATTAATGTTTAAAGTCGATCAGATATTGTTTCTAATGTAGAACTATCCAGACCACATTAAATATATGTTTGCTAGAGTATAATGTCTGTTAGAATGAAAAATTGTGGCTCCAGAGGTTGTGGTTTAGTTTGCTTTCCTGATGTGTTAAAGGAGAAATGTCATGACAAAATGTTACTCTTTGTTAGCACCTAAACCAACAAAAATAGCCCACAGAGTGCAGATTCAGATGTGTATTGTTTATTGTAGAAACAAACTTACACCGGCACTTCCAAAGTCAAACCCACCAAATACTAAAATTTTGAAGCTGCATTTGAATTTTATGGCGTAAATCATTGCTCAACATTACATGGTGGGATTGAATTGTTCAAAATTCTGGACTTGACCTCACAAATAGTGTAAGACATCTGGATCTGTAAGGCACCTGGCTCATGAAGCTGAACTACCAAAAGCCATTCTTCCTTGCATTTTTATCCTGCTAAAATTGATCTTGACCAAGATCAGTAAGAATGTATAAAAACCTAACAGGTCTCTCCTCTCCTAGAGGTGTTAAACTTTATGCTCCCAGAACTGCTTTATTTTTGTTAGTAATTTCAATAATTTTTCCCTTTCAAGACTGGACTGTTTGCAGCCATGTCTGAGCACTTCTAGTGTATTATAAAGTGATGCCTGAACAGCATGCACTAAGTGAGAAAAACAGTTGACATAGCATGATACTCAGATGTTGCATATTGTATTACAGCATTGACAGAAATTCCATTGTTATAATTAATTTACGAATTTTGGACAGTAGTGCAACATTCTGCTGTAATGGTTCAATTCATGGCAGTACTATTTATTTATTTAGTAAGTGCCCATTAGAGAAGTGCAATGGGTGTTTTTTAGCTGAAGTATGTGGTAGAAAACTATTTACATTGGAGGGGACATGCAGTGTGTAATTCATCTTTTTATGTGGCACAGACTTCTTTTATGTGTTTAAACTTAGAACAGTGTGATCAGTTTGCTGTGACTGCATTTAGTGTTAAAATTGTAGGGATAGCAAATAGCACTATTCATGTTAAAAACTAGATTGTTAGATGATCAAAACAATTATGACCCTCTTGAAATAATGCATTTGCCTCAAACACTGTGATATAGGAACAGTTCTGTGAAGTGGAACAATTAATTCAATTAATTTATTCATTCTAAACACAGAAAAGGCTTTCTGCACACTACCACAAGAAAGCTCACGTTCAAACTTTAGGTTATGAATCCCAATCTAGCAAAGGCACATCATAACTCTTGTTTTGCTTTCTGACCAAAAACTGTGCTCGATTGTAATACGGGTGTATACTCTGTCAAAAAACCTAAAATAATGGACTGCTTTCTAGGGTAGATCAAACTGATTTGTAGAGTAGTTTCATATATATATTCAAAATTCAGGTTGGGCTGTTATGTGAAGAAGAAAGAACTTCAAGGTAACAACATTCAACTTTACTACATTTAGTGAGCTGAAGAATTTGTTTTATATATATATATATTTACACTCATATATATATATATGATACATATAAACTATCTTTGTAAAAAAAAACAAAAAATATGCAAGTGCAATAATTTAAAGAGGTCTTAACTTTGCATTTATAAATTATAAATACTGTACATGGTGTGTAATTTTTTTCATGTATTCATTTGCAGTCTTTGTATTTAAAAAACAAACCTAAACCTTTACTATTACGTTTGTACAATAGAACAGTAAGCATTTATTATGATATAGTTATGTTGTAAATAAATTCACAAACCAAACAGCCAGTACATATGCATATATGGGTGTCCTATTGTGAAGCCTGTTTTTGCTTTTACTGCTGGCTTTAGCACAGCAAGACTACTTCTGTGGATATGTAATTATACATATAAATATATGTATGATACATGAAATATATTTAGAAATGTTCATAATTTTAATGGATATATCTATACATATACTTTGGTGTGAATATTAATGAATACAGAGGTTTTTAATATTATTTTTCATGTTTATTTTTACTGTTATTGGGAGTGGAAGTGAGGGATGGGAAGTGTGTGTATGTATCATGTGTTTATACCACAAGTAAACCACAGGAGAAAGGGATTCAAAACAAAATGAAGTCCTTTAAAAAGGTAGTGCCTGTAAGTGCAATTTACTGCTTATGGTGTTTTCCCAACATAATTTAATTCCTTATTATTATTATTACTTATTGCAAGTTCATGTTGTCACGACCTGGAAAGGGATCTACTTTGCCATTTGTCCTCCTGTTGCCAGAAAGCTTACCTTCCTGTTGACAGCTACTTCCACACAGATCCTTACTTTGCCAGTGTCAAATGGCAGGGCAGCTGATGCAGAATCTTTTGCTGCCTTTTGGAATTGTGGAAATCCTGAGATTCTGATTTGTAGAAAAATAATCCTGCATCAAGATCTTTAAAGTTTGCCAGTCCAGAGTGATAACAGGGTTTTGACAGCTCCCAGTACCCTGAAAATACAAGGTAGGTTCAGGGAACTATAAAGCAAAATTCTGAACAACATATTAGCAGATAATTATAAAACAGGGGGGAGGGGGGAAAAAAAAGGAAAAAAGTGTCTGTATGCTTATCTACCTAATATATTGATTCTCTTCAAAGATCTCTCACACTGTTCATGCTCAGTAAACAGAGTATTGGCCAGGGTGGTCTTGTGTCTTTATATGATTCTTCATGACCCTTCCATTCTCAAAGATGTTGAGCCTGGGATAGAGTTCAACTGGGACTCTCTCTCTGGTTACTCAGTATGGCCGCCAAACTTCCCTGGTCTCCCTCCTCACTGAAAGAATGCAGCATTGCTAGGATGACTTGACCAGAAACAAGTTTCCAGGGCAACTGGCTCAGTTTAACTACTGCATGCTGCTGTCAAAAACAAATATTACAAAATACACCTGTCTCTGTTCTGTTGTGACCAGCCCACTCGGAAAGCTCTGTTTGCAGCAAGGGACGTGCTGCTAGGGCTAACTTTAGTGATTAATGGAAACTGCACTGACTTCTAATGCATTTTTTAGTATTTATTCATTTAAGTTAAAGCTTTAGAAATTATTTTGAGGGACAAGCAGTAGAAGAGGAATGTTTTTGTGATTGCTATTGAGTTGGTCTTTTCCACCTGTTTCTGTATTGTTGGCAAGGAACTGTAGGCTGAAGTCGATTAATGACTTTCTGGTCAAGCTGTTCAAATTTATCACAGTCAGTCACATGCTTTTTTGTATTTTTTCTGCTTACCATGCAGACTTACCTCTTGTAACACACCACAGTGCTTTGCCATTGATGGTCACTGCCTAGTCAGTATGTTTCTTTAACACTTTAGCCCTTTGTTATTGAAAAATGCCACCAGAAACTTAAAGAAATCAACCCCTGAATATATTCCTATGCAGATTTTTTTAAGATATAAATGAAAAAGGATCTTAACTGAAGCTCACTGAAGTCTGGGGAGAGAAAGAGTATTTCTGTTGGTTTTGAGGACCCTTGAATTATGTTTGTTTGAAAGTATCCAAGTGCTCTGTAAAATCAAGTGCTCATTTGAGTCAGTTGTAAAGGACACAGACTTCAATGGATTTCAGCTGCTCAACAACTGTTGGTTACCTTATTGTGCTTACTTTGCTTAAGACAATTACTAAGGAGAAATTCCTCTTCTTCAATCTGTAGTCCCTCCTTGGATTAGAGAGAAAATTTTATTCAGGGTGTTTCGGTAGTGCTGTAGGAAAAGCTACCTGTGCTGTGCACATTGCTTATGAAGACCAAGGTCTTTGCCTCTGCATCAAGAACGAGTTACAGAGCAACGCTTCAGAAGGTAATTGGTAGTGTGCATGAGACCTCTTGTTTAAAAGCTTTCTAAAATAAAGGGGAAACCTGAGACTCAAGAGCTTTGGAAAGAATGACTTATACCAGGTAAAGTTTTCCTTTGATGTTCTTCTGGTTTGTAACATTGCTGGAATGACTGATTTTCACCATAGTGGCTGTTACCTGGCATTAATTACTCAGCTGGCATTAATTATTGTTCTTTTTTACAGCAATGTAAACCCTGTGAATACAGGTGAGATATTTGTAGAGCTACTTCTATTGCTGTATTTATGCTGCTTATAGAAGCAATGTAAGTTGTTAATAAATGCTATTTAATAAGCATATGGAAATGAAAAAATAGAAAACAAAGAAAAAAAAGCCAAAAAAGAAACTTTTGGAAGCACCTCATTGAGTCAGTATCTGTTAGAAGCTAGTAACCTCAACAGGGAGAGAAGATGCAATGGAACAGACTGAATTCTGTTCCTTTCTAGAGCTTGTCAAGTTATCCTGAAGACACACTGGTTGGAAATATTAGTTTCACTAGTGTTATTTTCACCTCAGGAGGAAAAATGAAATAAATAGGATATGTCTCATTCTGCAATAAGATAAGAAATCAAATACAAATTGTGTCGTTCTCCACATGACTCTGCAGGGTTTATCCAGATCTTTCACATGCTTTTAATGTGTATGTACATAAAAGCACACT